ATACCGGCCCAAAATGGATTCCACAATAAATTGCGCTATCAATGTGACAATGTTTTTAATTGATGAAATGAGTGACAGTAATAGTAGTGAATCATCAATGACTCTTCCATTATGACTCTTCCTATTTTGACACTTTTTACAATATCGCTATCAATCGCCATATGCAATTACGCAATCGCATGGAACGCATAAGCTGCTGCAACTCAAACTTGAGGTAGCTGATGCGTGTATTATGCGCTGCAGGTGGTGGGGATCTAGGGAATTCTAAGCGCTGTTCATGCGCGCATTGAGTGAAACGGAACGTTTTCTATGTAATTCGTGCGCATAATGTGCGAAACGGAACGCAACCATTACTTCATGAGATGAAATGTATAATGTATAGTCTGGTATAGTTGAGATGTGTTTAAATCATGGACAGAATGTTTTAGGTTAGATTATGATCTAATGAACTTCTCGAATGATAATTACTTCATTTCAATACGAAAATGCATCATTGTTAATTAATTTACGTAAATGGCATATGCACATATATGCTTTTAAAAACGCATGCGGGCAAAAGTTAAGATTGATAAAAAGCGTGTTCTGCGCTGCAAACTGCTTTCAGAATTCTTCGTTGTGTCTAGTGTTTGTTCTGCTATTTTTTTATTATGAAAAGACGTCAGAGGAGACCGGTTTTAACGTTGAATAAGCCACAAAGCAATTATCACATTGAGCATACGCAAAGTAAGTGTCAATTCATGTTTTTAATTAGTGAACTAAATATACTGACAATTTTGTGTCAATTATTTATCACATGGCAAGACGTATATTAGAATAACAATTAATCTACAGTAGTAGTGCATAGTAATTAGTACATAGGAGTCTTAATGCACAATTGCATTTTATGTATTGTAATTGCATATATAGATAGAACCAAGCCAGTGAACAATATACAATCTATGCAGAATGAGGCTAATAATCCATTGGCCAATTTATTATGCCAATACAATTCAGACAGTGACACAGAGGATCCTAAAAAGGATGCACAGAAATTGGATGACCAAGTCAATGACTTCCTTAAAGTAAGTAGCTAGTGATATGTTCTGTACATGTAGAAATTTCATATGCATTTCTTACAGGAAATTCAACTTATTGCACCAGAACAATCTATTTCGAATACTGCTAATGATCCAAACTTAGCAACTAAGGCAACTTCACAATCTATACATCATAGTCAGCAATCATGTAAGGAGTATATTTTAAATAAATGAAAATGATAGAATAAATTATAAATATGCCATTGTATGAAATGTTTTAAATTATACATAATTATGAAATATTCTAGTGTGGCAAGAGTGTTATGATGAATCTACTGGTTATCCTTATTATTGGCATACTGAAACCAACGAGGTGACATGGGATATGCCAGAGGAATTACGCTTGATAAGAAAACAATTCGAGATAGGATCTGGAGTAAAACATTCAGCCCAAGGATCTCATTGGGTAGACTTTTCGTCTATTGCATGTAATTGTCATTTTTTAAATTTTGAATTCTATTTCTGGATATGTTAACATGGGAAGACCTGTATGATGTGTGGTTATTGCAGATCGACAGTCACAAGCAAATATACCAGAAGGCATGATACCACAGGAGGTGGTAGCGAGAAATCGCAATAGATTTATGTGCAGTGAAAGTTCTAAGAAGAATAATTTGGAAAGCAAATTGGAAATTAAGAAGGAATCTCCTACGAAGGACGATGATTCGGATGATGGGTATGGCACTTGAGCAAAAATGTCAATGTTTAAAATAAGATGTTTTCTCTGAAATAAAATAAAAGAGATGTTTTTTTGATGATTAAAAAGTACTATGTTTTTTTTTTTAGACGGATAGAGATGATAACATCTTTTGGTAGCGATGGAAGCGACTCAGAAGATGAAAATAATTCATTAGATGAGAAAAAAGCATCGACGCTTCCATCTGAATCGAGAAATTCGAATACTGAGAAGCCATACCCGAAAAGCGGTGAAATCGGACCTGCCTTGTGTCCAACAAGAATGCAATTGCCTACCAAAAATGTTTCTTGTTCATATAAATCTGACCCAATTAACATATCAAACTCTACTCAAAGTCAATCTGAACAATCTGACGAGCGCAAGATAACTGAATCTGACAGCAAGAGTAGTATAATACAAGAAAAAGAATTTTCCAAGCCAGATAAAAATAGAAAAGATATTAATATACATATTGCAATTCCGAAACTAGACATTAACGTTTCTTTAGTACCTGGTTATGGGGATGATTCAGATGGAGAAGAAGAAGTTAAACCTAAACAAGAAATAAAACCTTTGTTCCCGATTGCACAAAATGAAGAACACGCAAATATAATAAGCTCGTTAAAAAGTACTCACAGTGCTTTTGTGAAAAATTCGAGTAATCTACAAACTTCCGATCAGTGTAATGACAACAATGAAGATGCTCCAGAAACGAAAAATGATCCGGAAAAAACAGACGAGAAAGACTCGAAGACAGAAGAAGATAAGTCTAAGACAAATATATTTCTCGAGGACATGCAAATGTGTGGCAAGGCCTTTCAGAGAAAAAAGAGAATAGCATTTGATGGTATTCTATTGATTATGTTTTATATCATTTTATTTTATCAAAGTAATTTATATAGAATAAAAGTTTGCATCACATTATATCAATTTATCTACATCACAAATTTTTGATGTAAATATATGATATCTCTATATTCAGTTAAACGAATAATTCTTTCTATGATTTCAGTTACGTCCACTAAAGTTAAACAACATAATGTTTATCATGAGAATATAGTTCAAGATGATAATAGTAATGCCACAAGCAGTGAAACTATCTCACGCAACATCGAGGACAACGATATGGGAATGCAATCAGGTACAGAAAACCAAAAAGAGAGTGATGAAGTGCGCGAAGAGACAGAACAGTGCGTTAGTGTTAAAAGTGATGAAAAGCTTGATTCCAAAGAGGAATCATGTGATTCCGAAGTATCTACAGAACGTAAAACAGCATCAAATGTAGAGGAAGAAAAAGATAATACTGAGGTGAATGATTTGTCTCAGATTATAACAGAAAAATTGAAGTTTCTTTCCGAAGGAAGGGAAAGCGTTTCTGCTGTTCCAACGATGCAAATTCAACTACAAGTTAGTATTTATTTCTTATGTGATTATAAGTATTATTAAATGTATTTTTTATTTTGTAATTTATTCTTACTAGACCATAACATTACATTACATGTGTGTAGCAAATCTTATATTTTAAAGAAAGAAATAGTCTAGTATGTTTATTTTAACATCTAGACTATTTCTTTCTTTAAAATATAAAATTTTTGTGCTTTGCAGCAAAGAAAATGTACATTCTAAAGTTCTAATTTTCCAAATGTTATGATATAATATTATATAGCATTTCTATGTCTTTGAATCTTATATCATATCGAATTACTCTTCCTAATATTTAATATTTATTCTTATTTTTAATATTTTCTTTATTGTGCGTAGTAGGGCCTTATATTAATATAATATTAGGTTAGAACTTTAGAATCTTATATTATAACATTTGGTAAGTTAGAACTTTAGAATGTACATTTTCTTTACTGCAATGCAATTAAAATCTTATATTTTAAAAGTTTGACAATTGTTAATATGCACTTGATTAATATAAATTAATTTTTTCTGTGACAGACATTATCCATTGCATGGACGGCAGGTAGCTTAGAGGAAAGTTACTTTCAAAAGTGGCTGACTAGTACAAATCATGAATTGGAAAGATTAGAACAAGATGTTGCACCAGCTGGTTGGCTATGTCAGTGGGATAGGTACAGTATTCCATACACAATTTGCACTATTACTTTTCTATGTAAATATAGGTATATTATATGACATTTATGTTCAATGGCTTTATATGTATCATTAATTTAATGAAGATATATATATATATATATATATATATATCTTTTTTTTTAATATCCATTTACAAATTCATACATGCAATTGCTACATTACAAATGTACTGCTATATAATTTCATTCATCATTGGAAAAGTTTATTTATTTTTAGTAAGGATTTATAGATACGAATCAATCAATTAACAGATTTAGCAATAGAGGTATACTAATTTGAAAGAAACATTAAGCACTCTAATATTTATAACAATTTGTAGAATACATTAAATAAGTTTCTAATACTTCAAGACTTAATGTACACTAAATTATACGATATTTTTAAATTTCATGTTTTGATACAGTTTGATACTATTGTTTTTTTATAAATTAACTCAAACTGAAATAGATTGGTAGTTTCAATCATATTTATGAGAAAAACAGCCATTGTCGCATTACATACAATGGTCATATTCAACGGTTTCAATGCACTTAAGTTGTTCTTTTAAAATCTAGATGCAGCTATTTTTGTTATTTTGTACAGTTTAGCCTAAGTGAAAGTGCAATATTCTCCTAGAGTGCGAAATAGAGTGATCGTTTCTTATGTAAGAAACCTTGTGAAATTGTCAATGTGATAATTGACATGTGTTGAGTGACATATTAAAATCTACTTAATTGCTGCAAGCGATAACCTGGTAATAAGCACGTTGGATTAAGGATTACATTTGTGCCATAAATAATGAAACAATAAAAGTGCGAAGTCAAAGTAAAATTCATAATACATTGAATCGAACACGAGAAGATATGAAAAAAGTGAAAAGGGTCCGACCTTTTTTAATCAGTAGGACTTAATTATTCATATAAATAATACGCAGCAAAAAAGTTGCAATGGACTGTTTTGGTGAATGATTATGGAAGTAATTAATAGAATATTTTGTTATTGTTGACGGTGATAAAATTATTTTTAAAGTAAAGAAACAAACTCTCATTAATTTAAATGCCAAAAAGTTATCGAATAAAATTTTATATTTAAACGTTCATATAACAATTAATCTTGTGTTATTTAATAAAACAAAAGAATATTGTAAAGTTTTATTAGCTACATACATATATATTTATCTGTTGGACATATTTCACTTTTTAATAAAATGGAAAATAAAGAGAAATTATTTTGTTCTTTGCACACATAAACACACTTCAAAGTGTACGAGAAATTTATAATTTGATATTATAATTCTGTTCGTTAATCTATTTGATAACGAACGACGATTGATAATGTAAGTATTACCCTGTTTATTATATTTTCTTAATATCTGGCAATTCTTGGGACATACTGATCGCAAATAAACCAGATATTATTAGGACTTAACTTTTATCATTATTTTCCCTGCACTTCAGTCACGATACTTCACTTCTCCTTCACTTTGCCGTAATCTCACACTAATGTTCCCCCTCCCCCCCCCCTCCCCCCAAGAGAACACACGTTATGTCTGATAATTACATAATTACATCTCCCATCTCTCCTGTAACGAAAGGCCTTCGTCGAGTAAAAACGAGACACGACATTGCAGGTAGGAGTGATTACTAGATTTTGTTCTATTAATTTTTGCTTTTGTCTAAGAAATAATGGTGACGGACGCGAGTATATCGCGACGAATGTTTCGCCACGGAAACATTACTTAAGCGTGTATTGAATGTAACATAGAGGAATTACAATAGAAAACGGTACAGTCCTCAGTGATGTCTTACGTTTTTTCCTTTCGGTTGGGGGATTTTTCTAGGTCGCATAAGCGGTATTACTATCACAATACATCCACTGGGACGTCACAGTGGACTTATCCCGATACTGGTATTGCTGGTGGCACTGAGGAAATGGAATTGTGCACAACTCCACCGCCACCAGAGTCTGAAGAGTTATCGGTCACAGGTACATTACATTTATTTACAGATATCTCAGATAAAAATTTTCTAAGCCAATCTGTCTAATCCATTTAATTTTCTACTATTAGGATCACCTGAAGCGAAAAAGGCGAAAGAGAAGCAAGCTGAAGAGATGGACGATAATAAGATAAGTGACGAAACTGTAACAATAAGACGTCCTACGGATTTGGAGGCACCACCCCCGCCACAGATATCTAATCCGAGTCCACCACCACCCCCGAGAATATTCGCGGTAGACTTGAAGAAGGACAAGAGGAAAAGGGAAAAGTCCGACGACAAGTCCTTAGACGTAAAGAGGAAACGTTTGGGAAAAGGTATAACAAATTATAACATATATCGTAATATAACAAAGTTTATACTTGTAATTGTACCACTACATTTACATATTGCAGCAATTATTTTATTAAAAATTAGTGTTTATGTAATTCTGTTAAATAATTATATATTGTAGAACAACTGCAGTTATTTATATAATTATTTGTGAAATATAATAAAAAGAAACTGTATTTTGTGCGCAGAGAGAATAGCAACTCTGGGCGCGACGCAGGCGGTGAATCCTGCCTTAGAATCTTTGTCCTACGCGCACCCACAAGCGGCCGTGTCACCGCAGACCACGATACCTCCGAATCACGCGCATATGGAACCTTTGCCACCGGGTGTGGACTTACCGGACACGTCCTACGAAGCGGCCACCCTCAAAGGAATAATATACAACGCAGCGTCACAGCAAAGCAACGCGATTTATGCCCCTTCGATAAGCGATCCAACGATACCTATTCTAAGCCATCAAGCGGGCCTGCTTCAGGAGCCATTTGTTCATTATCCAGCCTTCCATCAACATTTACATAATGTAAGTACGCTTTTGCACATTGAAAAATTGGTATTGGCATGTATGTTTATTTCATCGTACAATTTTATTTCATTAAAACGACATTAGACAGAAATAATTTAATGCTTTTTTAATTAAATAAAATTGTACAACTCTAAAATTACACGATGCCAATTTTATAGATGGAACAAAAATTTTTATGGAATTGTTGTATTTTAGAAATTTAATGTATACATTTCAGTTTATGTTTAATGTTTAATGTACATGCAATTTATGTTTGCAGACACTCGCAGTTGCGAACAAACACGGTGGACAAAGTGCAATTCAATTTATGGTGGGATACGCGCCGGTTTATACGAACAACAAAATCATCGCCAAGCCTCCAGTCAAGGCTTCAAAGGAGTCTCTGGGATCCGCTCTCGATTCCTTTTATAACGACATCGCGCGCATTGAGAGAACAGAAACGGAACGCACGGCACAGCATCAGGATACTGCTACCACTGTGACGGTAACGGAACCAGTTCCTGTCTTGATTGAAGAAGCAAAACCAGAAACTGAACCGGAAGCTATGTCCAGCGATATAACGATGAAGGAACGGAAGAAGAAGAAGGTAACTTATTACGATTCTATATACAATAAATGCTCTGGCAGTTTGCAACGAGATAAGTCTTTGCTTATTACTTTCTTTTCACTCTTGATAGAATTTTTCAGACATATTCTTTATATGTTTACGTTTCAGTGGTGCCAAAACAATTACATAACATTAAAAACTAATTCATAATTAAAGATTAGACTGATTTGGATGTGATTTTAGGCAAGAATCAGCATCAGCAAAAAACACAAAGAAATGTCGACCATGGTGGCGAAGTGGCAAAGGGTACAAAAAAATCTAGAAGATACTATGTAAATAATAGAGATCAAGTAATCGAAGTATAAAATATGTAATTAATTACTGTACGATAAATGATATGTGCATAAGATAGTTTTATTAATAATTTTGAATTTTATTGTACATATAAGATTTAGTTATTAGACATTTCTTCTATCGTGAAATGTTTTAAGTACGATTGTTTTTATGTATGATTTAAAGTGCGCACGTGTTTATGATGTTGCATATATCACTTGTATCACTAAATGCAGTACTTATCTTACGCACGACTGCCACGTATCTGTTTAGCGATTTGTCGCTTTGTGATAATTTTTGCGCGACGGATCGACAGTAGTAATTTCTAAAAAGTCGAATTCCTATAAAATTAATTTATCGAGATTAAATTAAATTTTGTATTGTCCATTTTTTCCTCGCATGTGCGATTGATTTAGAGAGTAAAATTTAGTTAATAGAATTACATTATTATGTGAAAACTGCTTTGCGGTGGGAAAGTTGCATAAAAGGAATAATCTAAATGTTTTAGCAGGTTTATAATAAAGAGTTAATTTTAAAGGAATTGTTGACTATCATCGGCATTATTATTATCATTATTATAGAGATATTGCTTTGAACCAATGTAAATTATTTTTACATACATTATACTAGACGATATTCTGCTCTACATGATAAAAGAAATTATACTTTGTAGAATTTATTGCAAATAAGATAAATCGAGAATAAAATAAAAATAAAGACTAAAACATGTGATATCATTAATTACGTTATCCCTTCTTGAAGAAATACAAGCATATTTTTAATAATGATATAGAAAATATACATTATAATCAATTTTAGTTTAAATTATTGCAAAACGTTATGCAATTTTTTTTAGTGTCACGAGATAGAATAACTTATTTTCGGTAAAAATATCGAATAATAGTATACACATATAGATTATAGAATATACCAACCTGATAAGTTATAACTTTCTCTAAAAAGGTTCCATTTTCTTCTCTTTTCCATGCGTCCATAAGATTGTTTAGTGTAATTAATTTAGCGTATTTAAACGCTTAATCGATGGTCCTGGATTATACAACTTGGTGTGTGCCATTCATGTAATTAAACGTAGAAGTAAAACTAAAAATCCGCGTGAATCCGGAAAACGTACTATTCGCAGAAATACTGCAGAAAAAGACCACTACATTTGTGTATTATCTGAAAAAAAACATAATAGCTTTAATTTCTGAAATAATATCTTTTATAAATTTCGCGAATTTTAAAGTATGCCAAAAATTTATCACACTTCTTTTTTCACCATGATGTTACACATATAACCACTATAACTGGGAAATTATAAAAGTAGTAGAAGTTATACTTATCGTCTACATTAGTATGAATAACATGATAACGAGCTTATTTTTTTTTAAAACATAAGTTTTATTTTATCGTAAATTTTCTGACGGAAGCAGTCTTCAAACAAGTATAACACGACAGTGCGTACCGTTAACGTGGAATAAGAAGGCACATCGCGTCAATATCGCATATTCATTCCTTTAACACGCACGAGTGATTTCCCCGATGAGGTTTTGAGATGTTAAAAAAGTATGTTCGGATGTTCGAGGATGCTGGCAGTCTCATCGGAAAAACCATGCGTGCGGGCGTTAATATATCCCACAAATATCTGTCTTCCTTTTTTTTTCGAGTGCTACCGCGATGTACCGTCAAGTATCTGTGTATTCGAGTGTATGCCGAGTCGTGTAATACAGCAAAGCCGAATATTTTAGCGTAATAAGTTGCGCGTGCTATCCGTAATGCCTGTGCGGAGACGCGAATTCGGATTCTCATTGTAAAAGTAAGCCGCGTCTCGAGGATTCGCGCGATTCATGCGACACCATGACAAACACACAAGAAGAAAATACAGCGTTCCAGAATAATTTACATACAGAATACGCGACAGAGTAATATTAGTCTTACGGTCCTCCCTTTCTTTTTTTTTGTACAGGGACATTGTATACTCTAAAAACGATCGCTCTCGACTCTTCGTTTGCATCGTGCACATTCTCGTTAAGTATCGCAGAAGCTGAAAGGCCAGTGGAAAGCGTAAAGACGACCGAACGGAGATGGCACGACGCCTATGAATCGAATGGCGTTTCGAAAAAACGGAGGAGATATATTCTTTTTGAAGAACGTTACTCGTAATATTCGTGTGCGCTCTTATACTCGCGAATCGATCTAGAAACGTTCTCCGCGAAGAATACATCAGAATAGACACTCCGATTCGATCGTCGACTGTGATGATAATTTGATGTATAAGCCTCAATTGAACTCAATTTCACAGCTCGCCCGGGTTGACGACATTAAGGGCGAACGCCGAGTTTGTCTCGCCCTTCTGGCCGATCGCACGCGCCACGTATTGACCGACGTCAGTGGCCGTGCACGTTTTGATGCCGAACTCGAAGGACGTGTTGCCGTCCGAACTGAAGTGATATCTGCTGCTCGTTTCGGGGATCGCCTTGCCGTCCTTCAGCCAGGTCACTGGAATATTCGCGTCATTTATTAGCATGGTTTAATTGCGAGGAAACGTGAAGAAAAACGATCAAAATATATAATATGTAAAATAATGCTAAAATAATTGTAAAATTATTTTACCTTTCAAAGGCGCGGTGTCAGTCTTGCATGTGAATGTCACTGCTTCGCCTTCGCTCACTGTGGCAGATTGCGGGAATGTCGCGAACGCTGGGCTTTTCGGTTCTTCATTCGGAGCTGAAAGAAAGATAGAACGCGTGCAACAAGAAAATATTTCGGTCGATCTCTTCTCTTTAAATTACAGCGTAAATATCTCAAGATCATGTTACAGCTGACGATATTTGAAAGAAGTTCCAGGTATTTTCATCTTTTAATCATATTATTGAGTATTATAAATTAGAACCCAACTTCTTTTACGTTTTACTTAATATTAGAATATCATTTATGTTTTCCTTACCGAGTACGTTTAATGTGCATGACGAGTAGCTCTCTCCTGCGTCGTTGAAAGCTTCGCACGTATAAGTGCCGGAATCCTCGGGAAATATCTCGGCGATGACTAGCTTATAAATATTAGCCTCGTTTGTGTACTGGAAGTCCTTGCTGGGCTTGATTTCCTTGTTGTTGTGCAGCCACACCACGTCGAATTTCTTGGCGCCGATTATTCGGCAGCTGAGCGTTACGGACTCGCCATCCTTCACGTACATGCTCGTCAAGTGGTCTACGATCTTCGGCGATTTGTCGTCACTCTGTTTCTTTCCGGCAGCGGTCTGCGCGGCTGAAAAGACAAATCAAATTTTGCAGCGTGTTTTTCTTTTTTTGAGTTTCAAAATCGACATTTGCCATCGTCTTTTACCAAATATTCTAAATAAAATAAAGAAATAGGTAATTCAATTAAAATTCAATAAAATTGAAATAACGATAAAAATTTTTGATACTCTTACGTTTTACAGTCAGTTTGCAGGATGTCGTATCACTACCGATACTGTTGGTCGCAACACACGTATATTCGCCTTCGTCCTCGGGGAATACTTCGTTAATCGTGAGAGTGGCTACTCTGTTCTTATATTTGAGATCGACGATCTCCGACGAGCTCAGTAACTGCAAAAAAATTTTTCATGTGTACAAACGCAGTTATTAATTTAAACAATTGATTTTTCTACACTATTTTAAGCACACTTCGAGTACATTTTTGAAAATAATTATAATCATTTTATATTCATTAATTATTACCATAATTCTAGTCTGTCAATTTTATTTACAATAAATAATGTTAGCAAATAGTAACGAAATTTTATTCGTAATTATCTAAAATTAATTTTAAAATTATATCTGTCTACCTTGCCGCCTTTATTCCAAGCAATTTGCGGTTCCGGATCGCCGTCGACTTTGACCGTGAGTTCTAGTTGTTCACCGTCGTTAATCGTGAGATTTTTCAATTTCTGGACGAACTGTGGCGGTCTCATCGAATCGTCCGAAGGTACTTAAATATTCATAATAGCAAGATTAAAAATATGCTACATATTCTAATCGTTTAGGGCATAAAAATGATACGCTTACAGATGAGTTCTTTTGTGGAGCTCCTGGATCGAGATGGACTGCCGGTGGTGTCGAGTTTCGAGCCATATTTTTTCAGGCTTCGTTTGTCGGACGATTCGTTAATTTTAACGCTGGAGCTGTCCTGAAATTATATATCGAAAAATATGTTAGTAATGTCAATTTAAACGATAATCTTATTTCGTTAGAAAGTATAAAATATATTTGGTTTTACGTATATTTTATAATAAACATATTTGTTTTTTGAAGAATTTATATAGCATTATATAATATATATTTATATTTTATATAAATTATAAGATTTAATATAAATTTTCCCGAACCTTATACGAGGAGGAAGTTGTGGAATTGTGCGATAAGGTTGTTTGACCTTGAGTAGTGGTGGAACTATAGCCGCTATAACCGCTAGACTTGTGGACTGTCACGATCGGCGGTGGTGCCGGTTTCAGCGGTTGCTCGATATACCTTCGATCTTATAACGAAATTATTCATTATTAAATAGTAAAATAATGTGTTCATGCGCAATTTTTTAATAACAAAATTTGTAATAAAATTCACAAGACTTATGTAATTGCAAAAAATTATAAAACTAATAAAACTACGAAAAGAAACGAGAAAATTAATTCAAATGTGCATATATAAGATATAAAAAAAACTAGTAATTATAAAACAATACAAGCAAATCGTTATTTTTAAATCTACTTGGACGAATGAAATTTCAGTTACTTGGATTTAAATAATATAATCAAATGTTAAATGTGTATATTGCGAGGGGTTTTTATGTACATGGCATCGTAGTTACATGACTTATACATATTTATGATCTCTAAAAAAGCTTGATGATGTACGTTGACAAACACATGGACAAAATAAAAATTGCATGGCTTAAATAAAGCATTGCTTGTGATAAGAAAGGAAGAAGGTGGCAAACGGGGTAAGCTCTTAAATAGCTCTACCTCCGGAATGTAGGAAATCGTGCGCTAATTTTACTTGCTCCTCCGTTTCTCCAGTGCCTACAAACAAACGCTCAATGAAGTCTGCTTCATAGAAAAATCGGCATAGATTACACAAAAATTATTATCAATTTTATCATTGACTGTAAAAAAATAGAGAACAAAAATATACTATAGATTTATATTTCAAAAATAAAACCGAATATAAATCTTATGCAATATGAAATTAATTTATTTTTATTTTTAGAATTCTAATTAAAGATTTGATCAAAACAATGATCACTTTTAAAAAAATTCGAATTAATTTACATAAATTCAAAAAGTTTTAGAGCTTTACAAAATCATCGTATTCAAGTCTAATTATTTATAATTTCCTACCCTGCAATATAATATCCTATATGTTCATTTGATTTAATAATTTATTACCTTCTACGATAACCACGCAACTAGTCTCGTCCTTGCCGTGCTTGTTGGTAGCTACACAACGATATTTGCCGCTGTCTTCCGGTTTACAGTCAATTATCTCCATCGAGACGACGCCGTCAGCGTTGCTCATGGGATAATTATATTTGGATAATTCCTCCCTATCCTTGTACCATTTCACAGTGGGCGGTGGATTGCCGCTCAGACAACAGAGCAATTTGCAAGTTTGCCTGATTTGAATGACACGTGGTCGCAGTAGGAAGGTGAAGCTCGGCGCCGACTCGATCATTTCTAGCCAGACGTTGTAGCCAAGAGGTTCTCGTCTGCGTACCGGATGCAGTTCAGGCCTGTACTTCGGAATTTCTCTTGGCAGTGCTAAAATAACACAGGAACGATACAAAACTGAACAGAAACAAAAATTTATCTTCTAAATAACATAATTCTATAAAACAGATAGAAATGGAAAATTTGATTAATTATATTCAACATTAATCAATATTAAAAATTATATATCCTTCTTCCGAGAGATTATGTAATTACGGATTATATAAAATTTTGATAGAAATACTTACGTTGTACATTAAGGAAGACAACTTCCTCGCGATAGCCATAATGATTCTCCGCACGTATGATATATTCTCCTCTGTCTTCCAATTTCACCCTGTTGATGATGAAGGTGTAATCGTCGCCGTGGTATCGTTTCATGAATTTCACGGATTGTCGTAGCTCCTGGTTGTTGTGCGACCAAGTCAGGGTCGGTGCCGCGATCGCGATTACGCGACAAGTGAACTTCACGCTTTGCCCCTCGTAAGCGAACGCGCTTTGCGGTTTGATTACGAATCTGGGTGCCGCTTGTCGACGATCTGTAAAAATGTAAATTATTAATTTAAGAATTATTATATAATTGTGAAATTTTTATCATACGTCTGAAGATTAATTGGAATTGTTTAAACATGCTTAATTAAATAGAGAAATTATGATTATATATTAATTGCTCACCGAAGCAGGAGTCGTAAATTCTGTATTTCTCGATTAGGAGCTTTCTAAGCGACGAGTATTCAGCTAGGCGGCCGATGGGAAGGACGTATTTGTCCCAATTTTCATACTTGGCACGCAGTCTGTCTCTGATGCTGAGGTAACGGCTGCTAGCGATCGGGTTGGTCCACTTGCTATGGTCGCCGGTTAACCATGGATGAAGGAGACACTCGTGTGCGGTCATACGCTTTCTGAAGAATAAAAAAATAAATATACGCGTGATAGAGAAAAGAAAGGAAGATATAACTGGAGGAAAAATGGACAACATTGATGTAGAGAACATACTCTTTGTTTTTGACGAGTAATCTTCTGATAAAATCTTTGCCTTCTTCGGAAACATCGCGGAATGCCTCCTCGTCGAAGTCCCAGTCACACGCCTTCACGTTTTTCAGGGTCTCGATATCGTTATCACCGGCAAATGGCGAAAGACCGCTCAGTCTAAATATTATAATTATAATAATAATGTAATAATAATACAATAAAAAAATTCTTAATTTATTTGTAATTTTATCATTAATTGCTAGAAGTCATTTTTTTTCTTTATAGCAATTCAATGGTAAAAAAATAAGATCTACTTACAGAACATAAGCCAGCACACCGCAGGCCCACATGTCGGTGTAAAAACCGACTGGTTCGCGCTCGACGATTTCCGGAGCGGCAAACTCGGCCGTGCCTGTGCTGATCTTTACTACTTCATTCGGATCGAGTTTAGTGGCTAGACCGAAGTCGATCAGTTTTACGTTGGTGCTGTTGCGAGTTTGGCACATGATGTTCTCAGGTTTGATGTCTGAAAAAAGTCGCGTTATATGATGAAAAAAATATATTTAATGAATTAATTATGATAACAACAATACCATAGCAATTATTACCAATTATTACTAAAATATAAATCCTTTTTATTATTAAATATTGATAAATATATTTTTTGACGATTCTTTTTCACATTACAAGCGAGATAAATAATAAATTTCATATCACAAGAAAACTATTAAAATATAAACATCTTACCGAGATGAATGATGTTCTTTTCGTGCATGTGCTTGACGCCCTCGCAAATCTGCCTCATATAATTGATGACTTCCGCTTCGGACATGGTGTAACCCTCGGCTGTGATCCTCTCGAAGAGCTCGCCGCCGGACAGGCTGAAGAGACAAATGATCGAGATCAAGGATAACGCAAAATCGTCACAGCTGGCCGTCAAAGTTTAATTGCAGTTTTTTTTGCCCAAAGTGGATACTTACAACTCGAATATCAGCACCATCTCGTCGTCGTCCTCAAAGGCATCGTGCAGATTGATCAGCTTGGGATGGTGCAGCTGATTCATGATGTCGATCTCCTTCCTGATCAGTTCCTTCTCCATCACGTGTGACACCGGGATGAACTTGGCGGCGAAGATGTTGCCGGTGGTTCTCTCTCGGCAACGGTGCACCACACCGAACGCGCCGGTGCCGATCTCCTCGAGAATGTCGTACTTGTCGTAAACCGAAGTGTGCTTGATCTCGACCGGTTGCGGCACGTACTTGCTGTACACGTCGAACACAAACTGGTCGTAATCGCGCGGCTTTTCGTCCTCGCGTCCGCGGATCTTCTTGCCGCTCGCGTCCACCTCGTATTCCTTCTTCTTGAACTCGCGCTTGATCACGCCCTTCGTGGTTATCAGCGGCGTCACCTCGCTCGGATCGGATCGGCCGTAGATGTTCTCCGCGCACACCCGGAAGTCGTACTGCTTGCCGGGGCTCAGACCGGTCACCGCGAGCGTGCAGAACCGAGTGTGGCCGGCGCGGATCCAGCTGCTCATCGGATGCTCGCGCTTCTCCACTACGTAGTTGGTGATGTTGCTGCCGCCGTCCCACACCGGTGGTTTCCAGCTGACCGCGAGCGAGTCGTGGCCGACGTTATCTACCTGCGGGAATCTGGGCGGGTCCGGCCGATCGCTGATTTGAATCTTGATGATGGCCGTATCCTGGCCGAGATCGTTCTCGGCGGTGATGCGATACGGGCCGGAGTCGATACGACTACCATCGCGGATTGTCAGTATGGCGTGGCGCTCCTTCACCTCGACGGCGTAATGACCGCCGGATTCAATCACCTCGCCCTCGCGCACCCACGTGATTTTCGGCTTCGGGTAACCGGTGAACGGAATTTTGATGACGACGTTCACGCCCTTGTCGAAGAAGGCGGTGTCACGGAATCGCGGCGGCACGTTCAGTTTCGGTGGCGTCTTGATGAAGAGCTCGCTCTTCGTCGACTTCACGCCGCACTTGTTCACCGCGCGGCAGAAGTACTCGTCAGCGTCTTCGCCGAACACGTCGTGGATGATAAGATTGTGAGTGTCGCCCTCGGAATAAATGTTGTAGCGACTGCCGCTCACGATCTCGCGGGCGCCTTTGAACCACGTGATGGTCGGTCTCGGCGTGCCGATGATCTTGCACTGGAAGTGTGCGTTGTGATTCTGGACGCAATTCACCTAATAAAATAAATAGAAAGAGTTAATTGCTTTGTCTTGGATCTAAAAGACAAGAAAAAAAAAGATGGATATTGAAAAAAATGTTTAATTTCAATATTTTATCTTAAAATTATTTTAAAAATTCTTTTAAAAATAAGATTCTGTAAAAAAATTCATTTTTTACCACATTTTAAACAACATTCTAATCTTTTTTCTGATATTTCTTGGATTTTTTGGAAATCAATTGTGTCAATTGCTAGACACAAACCTTGTTGAGAGGTTGAATGATCTCCGGAGGCTTCGCCGCCTGCGGATCAACGATCTTCACGGAAGTCGAGGCCTTCGATTCCGGACTGAGCCCAGCTGAGTTCTGCGCGAACACTCGGAACTCGTACTGCCTGCCCTCGATCAGATTGCTGATGTTGATCTGCGTCGGCAGGCAGATACTAGCGTTTACGCGCTGCCAGGCCTGACTGCCGACCTCACGTTTGTCGATCCAGTAACCCTGGATCTTGGCGCCGCCGTCTGTTTCCGGTTTCTCCCACGAGAGATTAACAAAGTCGCCGCCAACCTCGGTGACTTTGGGCGTGCCCGGCGGTCCTGGCGGATCAAACGGCGCCTTCGCCCTGATCGGATTGGCACCCTCGAGCGGCGGACCCATACCGTTGTCGTTGGCCGCCATCACCCGGAAGAGGTACTCCTGGCCCTCAGTCAGACCCTGCACGACGAAGGTAGTGTCTCTGCAGAAGGAAGACACGATGATCCAGTGCGTATGGCTGACGTCGCGACGTTCCACCACGTAATGGGTCACCCGAAGACCGCCGTCGTACTTGGGTGGATGCCAGGACAGGGTGCAGGTATGTTTGTCGATGTCTGAGGCGTCGAGCGGTCCAGTCGGCGGTCCAGGCAGTCCGGTGATGTACACGGTGAAGGAAGCGCTGACGCTGCCGCTGTCGTTCGAGATGGACAGATCGTAAGTGCCGCCGTCGTCCTTTTGGATATCCTTGATAAAGATGATGAGATACTCGTCGAAGACGGTATACTTGATGTGCGTGGTTTCCACAATTTTCTGTCCGTCTTTTTTCAGCGTCACCTCCATTGGCTGATCGCCGCTGTAGTAGATCTTGATCTTCGTGTTGTCGCCTTCCGGTAGATAGAGATCACCCGGCATGCGTTCGATACGCGGCGGTGTACCGATCTTCAATCTGCACGTAGTCGTGGCAATGCCGAGCGGATTGGAAATCTGGCAGCTGTAGTCACCGTCGTCCGCGTCCCATACTTCAGAGATTACCAGCCTATAAATGCCGTTGATCGCTTCGGCGCGGAAGCGGCCGCCTAGCGTAATTTCGCGACCATTCTTCAACCACCTGAATAAATTGAGAATACAATTGCAACATCAAAATAAAGTTAGGAAAACAACAGAGAATTCATACGTAATATTAATTATCGATATATGTAAACATTATTGAATAATTTGTTAATTTGTATCAATATTAATATTGCAATGTAGATTAAAGAATATATCAAGTAAAGGAGGATGTTAAAAATAGGTCGATTTTGGCCCATGGTGTGGAACCAAAACTACAAATGGTTTCTTATAAATTTTATACCGTAAAATCATGTGGTAAAGTCCATTTTTCTCTAGACAACGGGGAAAGTACGGAAAAATTGAAAAAAAGACCATAAAAAATGCAATTTTCCGTATAAAAAACACATGTACTTATGGATGTACTTGAGTGAACACAGATATAATAATTGCTTGAAGTTTATACGGAGCAGAGGAATCATTGGACGGCTATTCTCTGACCGTACGACGTCAATGATCGCGCTGACAGCGCTGCCATATTGACAATTAGATATTATAAACGGCGTAAATGTACGTGTAATAATTTTGAAGCTTTTTTTCATAAATTAACCATGACAGTTCTTTACTATAAAATAATTATTATAGTTGTTGAGTAATAAATTATAATAAATCAATTAAAATAAATCGTAACAAACATAACAAAAAAAGTACTCTTATGAGAACTTTAACCATCAAGTTTAATTTTTAAAACATTTATTCCTGAATATTAATTTTGATCCAAGTAATAAAACTATAATTGAAATATTAGAAATATTAAATAATGTTCTGACCTGGCTGTCGGTAGAGGTTTACCCGTGGCCTCGCATTCGAGAACAAGCGTTTTTCCGAGCGGTATAATTTGACTGATGGGCAGATTTCTGATGAATTCCGGTTTCTCGCCGCCCTCGACCTCGCAAATCTTTACCGGTGTGGTGCACGAGCTCGGCTGGGATCTGCCGGCCGCGTTCACCGCGAAGATCCTGAACTCGTAATCGCCGCGTTCGATCAAGTGCATAACCGTGTATTCGGTGTCGACGACGTTGTACTCGTTGCACTTGGACCACATTGCGCTGCCGACTTCGCGTTTCTCGATCACGTAACCAGTAATTCTACTGCCGCCGTCGGACACGGGTGGTTCCCAGCGTAGATCGACGTAGTTTTTGCCGACTTTAGTAACTTGCGGTGTGCCAGGCGGCGATGGCACGTTGAACTTGCTCTTCAGTCTGAACGGTGCGGATGGCGGGCTCGGTTTGCTGAAGCCAGCCGCATTCTTTGCGCGGATTCTGAACTCATACTCGTGGCCGCTTTGTAGACCGTAGCACACGTAAGTTGTGTCCTTAAAGAGATAGTCGTTCGCCACGCGCCATTGCACATCTTCAGCAGGATCACGGAACTCGATCTTGTAACCCTGTAATTAAATATTTACTTGTAGATTAAAATTTAACAAATCACCAAAATAATAAATATGCTATATGCAAGAAGCACAAATTTTAGAAATAATTCCAAAATAAATTTTATGTTTAAAAGAAATTCATAAAATTGATATATATATATTTATATAATACATAATACAAGATATATATATTATATATATATTTCAAAAAAAATTTCATAAAATTCGAAATATTTTCTTTGTATATCAATAATATGCACCTGAATGCGAGATCCGCCATCAGACAATGGTTTCGTCCAGACCACCGTGGCGTTGGAGGTGTCCCAGTCGATGATACGCGGCTGTCCAGGTGGATCTGGCACCGTGAAGGGAAACTTGGCCGTTATCGGCTCATCAGCCTGTAGAGGATCAGACACGCCGTATTGATTCTCTGCTCTCACACGGAAGTTGTACGTGCGATTCGGCTCCAAACCAATCACGTCATAATGCGTGTTTCTCACAAAGCTGCTGAGTTTCACCCAGAACTGAAAGAAATCAGAGATCAATGTAGACACTGACATATTTTGTGCAATGTTGAGAAAAAGTTATTTTTCAAATAATTATTAGAATTTTTTAAACACTTACACCAGCTGGATCCAATTTCTCGACAATGTAGTTTGTGATCGGCGAACCGCCATCGTCGAAGGGTGGTTTCCACGATAATGTGCAGGTTTCTGGAGTGATATCTGAGATATCCAGAGGCGCCAAAGGCGGTGACGGTTTATCTAAGGAGAAAATAATTTCATAACTATATATGTTTCTAAAATTTATTGTTTATAGAATTTTTCACATAAATATTTATATAAAAGATTGTATCATTTTACAAATAAATAAAATTATTGCTAAATAAATAAAAAGCAAAGAGTTAAGAAGAATTAATTTAATAATAATTAAACGATAAGAAAAAGACAAATAAAGAATTCAATTAATGTAAACGAAAAACTTACCGACAACGAGAACTTTGCACGAAGCGGAATCCGTGCCAACGGTGTTCGTGAGATATATCGTGTACGTTCCGGTGTCTGACCTTGTTGCTTTCTTGTTTATAAATTGAGAAGCTACATCGGTCGTCTCGAATTTGATTCTTTCGCTCGTGAGCACTTCCTCGCCGTTGATGGACCAGTTCGGTCTCGGCTTGGGATTGGCTGAATAAGGCACCGTGATGGTGAAGGGTTCTCCAGCAATTACAGTCATATCGCGGATGCTGAGATCGCTCGTAATCTTTGGCGGGACTGTAACAAAACGATTGATATTTTGAATTACACTCAAAACATGAAAATTAAGAATCACGATTAATAATCAAGCAAATTTAAATCAATTCAACTGACAAAATTTTAAAGATACTGAAAAAAGTTTAAAAAAATGTATCTTTGATTCTAACTTTAGATCTTATTTTAAAATATTTGTAACATAATTATTGAGAATAAATTAAATAAATAAAAATATTTAAAGATAAAAGTTAAAAATAAATTTTTGTAAAAAAGAAATTGACATTGTTCCGAAGTTTTACATATTTACATGCGCTTAATTTTGATTTTAAAAATTTCTTTCATAAGCAAAATTTCTCTTTCTAATAATTTTATCATTACAATTATTGAAATGTATAATTTTTTAATCTAGAGTATAATATTATTTATTACTCACATGGTGGAGCACTGGCACGAATGACGTCGGAGTTGGAACTCCACGGTCCACGACCGGCGGCATTTTCCGCAGCTACGCGGAATTCGTAATCATGATTCTCGATCAGTCCAGTGACCCTACGAGATCGCGAGAAAGATAAATTAATAAAGCATTAGCAAAGACTGTATCTTTTACAAATTGTATGACACAAATTGCTCACTTGTAAGTAGTGTCGTGCACCAGAGCGGGGGTGGCTTTAACCCATTTGTCCTCGCTCAAGAGACGCTTCTCGACGACGTATCCAATGATCGGCGAACCACCGTCGTGACGCGGCTTGCTCCACGTGATGGTAATGCTATCTTCGGTGGTCTCCACGCCACGCGGTGCGCCAGGAGCACCCGGTGGATCGAACGGATGCCTCGCTTTGATCGGATCAATCGTCGTTACCGGATCCGATGTGCCGTACTGATTCTCGGCCATCACTCGGAATTCATAGACTTGACCGACTGTCAAATTCCTGACTCGCACAAATGGCGTCGTGACATAGCTGCTTACCTGCAAATTTCCTTTCTTTAGACTATAATATTACACTAAACATACATTTTTTTCTACTTAATTTTTTCTCACAAAGATCTTTTTGCAAAAAATAATTATTAGTTGAAAAACTTTTTTATTATGATATTGCTATTTGAGGAAGAATAATTTTTTTTCATTTATCTAGTCAGAATTAATTTTTTTTATTTTAATAGTAATGAATATTCTATAAAATAATAAATACGAGTTTAATTTTTAATCAAATAATAGTTTTACAACGTTTCTCACCTTGGACCACGTGGCGGACTTCGGTTCCTTCTTCTCAATCACATAATTTGTGATATCAGCACCGCCGTTGTCTTTAGGCGGGGTCCAGAAGAGTGTGAGAGCATCACCGCCGAACTCATCCGCACGGAGATTCTCAGGTGGTGCAGGACGATCGAGAACCTTAACGTTGACGGTCGCCGTATCAAAGCCGGACGAGTTGCGCAGTTGAAGTCTGTATTGTCCTCCGTCCGTACGTTTCGCATTCTTCACCACCAAGCTACAGTAAAAGATTTTATTTTTTATTATACTATAAATTTTTATTTAATCTATTAGCATAATCAATTATTTCCACTTCTTTACTGCAAAGCAGTTGGATTTCATCATAAATTTTTTTTTAAGAATTAAATTCTAGGATATATTTTATTTCAATAATTTTCAATTTCATAAAATTCATACTGCCAAGACATACCTGGCGAAATCATCGGCCAGCTGCTGATGGACGCGCGAATCAGTTTCGTCCTTAACAACATCGTTGGCGAACCACGTGGCGGTTGGTTTGGGGAAGCCAATGTAAGGCACATGAATGGAGAAGTCCTCGCCGGCGCGAACAGTAATGTCGCGAACTCCGCCGAGATCCATGACCGGTTTGTTGGGCTGTTCTTCGATGACGATGGGGTTGCTGGGTCGACTCGGATCGCTGTTACCGACGTCATTCACTGCAATCACTCTGAAGAGGTATTCTTCGCCCTCCTTCAATTTTGGCACGGTATACACGTTGTTCGGTATGGGAGCACCGTTCACGTCCGACCAGTCGTCATCATTTTTAGCCTTCTTCTGGATGATGTAGCCTCTGATCTTCGCACCACCGTCGCTTCGTGGCGGACGCCAGCTTAGAGTCACCGAGTCCTTGGTGATTCTATCTGGTTTAGGCGGCTCAGGTGCATCAGGACGTACTATAGAATTAATGATAATGTAATAAGTTTAACACTATATCAATTTGAATAAAATATATAAGGCAAATTAAATTTGAAAATATTATTGTCAAAATTAAGTAAAAATACAAATTCATAATTACAAAAAATTCTAAAATAAAGTATTTAAATTACAGTGGAACAAATAAATTTATTGCTCCTAAATTGTTTTTATTATAATGTGATCTTATTAATGATTAGAAAATACTTACGGCGTTGGTGCCCGGCTGTGATGGGCTCAGTGGGCTTGCTAGGTTTGCCTGGTCCAGCCTCGTTCACAGCGATCACTCTAAATTCGTATCGCGAACCTTCGTGAAGATCCTGCACGGTAAATGTCGTGTTCGGAGTCGGGTAGTTGTTGACCTTCAACCATTCGCCGCCACGCTCACGCCTCTCTACGTAATAACCTAAGGAAGATAATTAAAATAATGTTAATTATTTATAAATTTTTTCAGCATTGTTTTGACTATAACATAAATAAAATAAATATTTCTTGATATTTTGTGATTTAATTGGAAGAGTCTTTGAAAATTTTGGATTTAAGTACAATTGTAAAATAAATTATTTGTAACAACTTACCAGTGATAGGCTTTCCGCCGGTGTTGAGAGGCGGATTCCAGGTGAGACTGCAGCTGTTAGGAGTATAGCCAAGTATTTCAGGCTGACTCGGCGCGTCTGGCGGATCATAAGGACTCTTGGCGACTACAGGTTTGCCCTCCAAGGGCTCCGAGACTCCGTACATATTCTCAGCGCGAACTCTGAAAACGTACTTTTTGCCTTCAATCAGGCCCTTCGCCGTGAAGCTCGTTCTGGGCACGTAGCCAGGTACTTGTCGCCAATTGTCAGACCCGTAATCCGACACTTCAACTATGTAATTCGTAATGTCGGATCCACCGTCGTCCACTGGTGGGTTCCAGGATAGTCCGACGGATTCTTGTGTCGTGCCGGTGTACTGCAGAGGACCCTGGGGTGGTCCGGGTTTATCCACGACTATTACTTCGATGTCGGCCGAATCTTTGCCATGTTCATTTGACGCAGTTATGGTGTACATGCCGCTGTCATCCCGCACGGATTTCTCGATCAGCAGTTGCGTTCGGTCGCTCTTGGTCTCGGTCTAAAAATATAGTAGAGCAAAATACAAAAATAAAATAAAATTCGATAAAATTAATTTTATATAGAGAACAGAATTTTTAGATATATCTTCATAATAATTACAACAAAAATATAATTACCACAGTCTGGGTACAAATTGTATTTTACTAAAGTACGTACACAGAAAGAACACTTTTGCTGAAAGATCTAAAAAAACAGAGATACAAATCTGAAAGTAAATTTTGTTGGACATTCGAAATTTGTCAATAGAACACTCGATTTTGATTGATGAATCGTCAAAACTTTTTGCTACGATATGAAAAAAATCGAGTGCTCTATTGATAAATTTCGATTGTCCAACAAAATTTATTTTCAGATTTGTATCTGGCACAATCTTTAGATCTTTCAGCAAAAGTGTTCTTTCCGTTGTAATATATAAAAATGTCTTTAATGTAGTTTTTTTTATGTTGACACCTTAAATTACTGTTACATTTATTAAAATAATGAATATGACAATAAAAATAATTATTAAAATTTTATTAAAAAATAGATTACATACCGATATACGAAGAGTTTCCAAGAGCGATTTTCCGTCCTTGGTCCATTCGATCTTCGGCGTGGGCGCGCCGGACAATGGTATATTGACATTGATCGGTTCCCCGGCTCGAACTTTGATCTTGCGGCCGATCAGAGCATCCAAATTGAGTTTTGGCTTCTCCCGCATAGGCTTAGCCGTGAACGCGGACGAGGTCTCGCTTGGTTTTCCGGCACCGGCGGCATTTATGGCCGATACGCGATACTCGTACTGATGACCCTCGGTTACATGATCGTCGTAGTACTCGGGGTATTTGACGGGTTCCTTGTTTTGTTTTATCCAGCGACCGGTAGCGCGATCGCGACGTTCCACGTCGTAGCCGATGATCTTGGAACCGCCGTTGCTGATGGGCGGCGTCCATTTGATCTTGATGTGGTCCTTATCAGCGTCCACGCATTCTGGCTTGCCAGGTTGACCAGGGACCACTGAATAATTGAACGTAAAAATATGTAATTAACAAACAAAAAAGTAAGTAACAAAACTTAACATTTAAAAAAATTAATTTTTGCATCTATGAATTTAAAATTTAAAATTACATATTGAAAAGTCAATATTATGTTGATAATTTATATTCTACAGTTATTAAAAAGAGTTTAGGCAAAAAATTTAAAATTTATTTCTTTTTTTTTCAAACAATTATTTACTATACATTGTTCAAATTAAGTTATTTAAATATATTTCAATACTTCCTTTGATATTTTAATGAAAGTACTCACCGAATTGATTCTTCGCAACAACTGATCGATCTGTCGTCAATGGCTCGGAGCGACCCTGTAGGTTTTCCGCAGAAACACGGAATTCATACGTGGTTCCTTCGAGCAATCTTGGCACAGTCGCATGATTATACTTCGGATTAACATGTGTAACTGCTGGCACCCAGCCGCCACCGTGTGTAAGATCGCGTTTCTCGATAACGTATCCACTATAAAGAACAAAATAAATATATGTGAGAAACTATTTTACTGCTATCATTTCACTTGTTAATTTTTGGTGCAAATTATAAAATTTATAATTTTTAATGATAAAAACTGAGTAACTTTTATATAAAATTACAATATATGTATAAAATAAATTTGTTATTTATATGATTTAAAAGTCCAATATATAAAAACTCATAAAATATAAACTAGATGTATTGTAGAAAATTATTAGTAATTTATTTCAAAAATAATATTTCCTGTATATTAACTTACGTAAGCTCGCTGCCGCCATTATCCTTGGGTGGCTTCCACGAGAGTGTGACGGATTGGCTCGTGATTTCTTCGTACTGCAAAGGACCCTCTGGTGGTCCGGGTTTGTCTAGAACAGTCATTTGGAAACTGCCCTCATCTATGCCGCTACTGTTCTTCAGCAATAGATGATACAGTCCCGAATCAGATCTCTTAGCATTAACGATGTGTACAATCGTGTGATAGCCGATTGATGTAATCGTCGTCCTGTCGTTGGAAGTCAACTCGTTGGTTCCTACGCTCCAGGTAACTTCCGGCGTCGGTTCGCCGATGAAATCGATGTCCACGTGGAAGATTAGTCCAGCCTTGATACGAACGTCTTGCAAAGGCGTCTTGATCTTCGGAGCCACTAAAAAATTAAAGAAAATCATATGTTTGTCCAACACAAATATATATTAAATTAACATATTTAAAAAATTTATAGAAATAATTAATATCCAACTGTAAAATATTCTGTGATAATATAATAAAGTTTGCCATACATAAAAATTTGAGAATGTAAATCAATTGATTTTAATTATAATATTAATTAATTAAAGAGCTTACGGTAACGAGGTTTAGCTGTGACGAGATCGCTAGGTTCAGACGGCTCGGATTGACCGGCAGCGTTCACAGCAATCACTCGGAACTCATACTCCTGGCCTTCGGTCAGATCTGGAACGGTTGTGTTGGTTTGATCCGCCGGCACATGCACCGCATTCACCCAGTAAGGACTGCCCTTTTCTTTCTTCTGAACAATGTAGCCTTTGATCGGCGATCCGCCGTCATTCTTCGGTGCTGGCCATTGCAGATCCACGTGATCCTTGTCCCAATCCGTAATCTGAGGTTTGCCAGGCGCGTCTGGTTCATCTAAAAGTAAAGAATGTATATTTAATATTATTATTTTTAAAATAATATATTTAAGATTGTATTTTAAATTAATATGCTATTAATTGTTATATGACATTACACTTCAGAGAACTTTCAGAAGCTTTCAGATTTTATATAAATTTATATCGACTAAACTGTAGAAATTTTATTTAATAATAATATCACTCTTATTTGAATGTGGAATTTTGCTTATTTACTTACCGAATTCGTTCTTCGCGATTATGCTCTTTGTAGTCTCGAGTGGGTCTGATTCTCCAATGTTGTTTACAGCCTTGACGCGGAACAGGTATTCCTTGCGATGAGTCAAACGGCTGACCTCGTGGCTCAGCACCATGCTCATGCCGGCATCGGACCAAGTACCACGTGACAGATCCATCTTCTCGATGACGTAATGTAGAATGGGACTGCCGCCGTCGTCGAGAGGATGTCCCCAAGTCAGATGGCAACCCTCTTTGGTAACGTTGCTGACCTCCAGCGGTTTCTCCGGTGGCGCTGGTCTGTCGAGGACTGTGACTCTTGCGCTGGCGCTAAAAATATCATCGCTCATTTTTAATTGCTAATTATCCAAAGTATAATTAAATTACTAAGTTAATAACATTAATAACATTAATTACAATAAGATTAATTATAAGAAATTCTAAACCTTTTCATTATTAAAATTCTTATTATAATTTACTATTATGTTTTCCAATTGTAATTGTATTATATTTGATGTAGATTAATTTAATTTAAAAATTTTGTATTGTTGAAAAATATTTAATCGAAGACTTAATATTAAAATCGCTTCTTGTATACTTATTATTATATATTTCTCAATTATACCTGAAGCTACCATGCTCGTTCTCTAATGTCAAAGTATAGCGTCCAGTGTCATCACGAACGGAGAACGGAATCTCGAAGGATGTTTCGGTGTTTGTGGTGTACATCTCGTGACGCGCATCGGCCACGATGTTCACTCCATCGCGATTCCACGTTGTCTTCGGTTTAGGTGATGCCACGATGGGAATGTTGTAGCTGATCTTCTGACCAGCGCGCACCACCAAGTCGTTCAGCAAATGCGTATCAAACGATGGCGCAACTGCAAAATCAATTATAAACAATTGTGAATAAAGTATCAATAGTGAAAAAAAAGAATTTTTAATTATTTTTAAAAATGCACCATTAAAAAATATTTATTTGCGTGAAGATGAAAAGATAATAACAATATTGGAATAAAATTCTCTTTCTAAAACAACCGATATAATCGTGAAGTTTTAATTTAGATGAAAGCTCTAACTTACTGAAGCGTGGCTTAGCGACGATCGGCGCCGATGCATCGGACGGCTCGCCAGGTCCGCCCTTGTTGACGGCAATGACCCTGAATTCGTATTCTTGACCCTCGGTCAGATCTGGCACTCTGCCGCTGGTCTTGTCACCGGGTATTTCAGCCGCCTTCTCCCACTGTCCATAACGAGGTCGTTTCTCGATAATGTAGCCAGTTATAGGCGATCCACCGTCTTTCTTGGGCGGCGTCCATTCGAGGTCCACGTGATCCTTGTCCCAGTCGGTGGCGACCGGTGCTCCCGGTTTATCCGGCTTGGCGAACGGATCTTTGGCGGTGATGGTGTCCATTCCCGTCAAAGGCTGCGACTCGCCCTGCTTGTTGACGGCGCGCACGCGGAACTGGTAGTCGTGACCCTCGATCAGATGATCCACCCGCGCCGAGGTGGTGTTAGCCTCGGCCACGGGCACCCAGCGCATATTCTCCGTATCCATTTTTTCGACTTGATAATACTGGATTTCGGAACCGCCGTCGTCTTTCGGCGGCCGCCACTTCAGAGTGCAGCCACTTCTGGTGACGTTGTCGACCTTCAGCGGACCTTCCGGCGGCGCAGGTACATCCAGCACGTTCACCGTCAGCGTGGCAGAGTCCTTGCCGTTCACGTTCTTAGCCTCCAGGGTGTATACACCGGAATCGAAACGTTTCGCCTCCATCACGCGCACTTTCGTATTGTAGTCCTCGTTGACGATTTTGATGCGGTCGCTCGCCATCACCGCAGCGTCTTTTAGCGACCATTCTTTGCTCGGTGGCGGCTCGCCGATCACCGGCACGTCGAAGTCGAAGAAACCGCCGGCGCGCACCTTCACATCCAGCATGTACTTCCTGTCGATCTTTGGCGGAACTAAGGAAAAATTTTTATATATTTTAAACATTTGTCGTTGCTCATTAAATACATCTTATCTAATAAGACATACGCAATTAAAAAATAATTTTTTAATCAAAAATTTAATTACTTAAATTTCTAAATTTAGTTTAATATTTAAAATAATAATTATTATCGTGTGAGTACTATGAAAATATTAAATGTACAAGAAAGATATGTATTTAATTTTTCTAAATGCACACAAATCATTATTTGCGAATGCTTACGGTTCTTGGGTCGCGCCAGATGCGACTTCGATGCTTCCGACGCTTCACCAGGACCGGCCTTGTTAACAGCCCTCACGCGGAATTCGTATTGAGTTCCCTCAACTAGATCATTCACTCTGCCGCGGTTTGTGTCACCCTCGACTTCTGCACACTTCTCCCAAGTCGGGCTGTACTTGTCGCGCTTCTCTATGACGTAGCCGGTAATCGGTGATCCACCATCCTCATCAGGACGTTTCCATTGAAGTTCGACAAAGTCTCTATCGTAATCAACCACCTCGGGCGTACCTGGTTTTCCTGGCTCGTCTATGGAATACACATAAAAAAACACAATATAAAAGAAACTTGCAATATAATATTACCAATACCTATCAAAAAATTCTTAAAGATTGCATAATAAATAACATTCGCTCTAATTATATTAAAAATTCAATGCCTACAAAGTAAAAATTCAAAATTCAATAATATTAAACTGTATTGCGTATTGAAAGCACTGAATATATTAAAAAAATCGAATTAAAAAGTTTTTGCTTAAAAATATATGAAATTATTCTTTTATGAAAAATTCGTGTCTCACCGAAGGGATTCTTCGCCTCAATGCTCTGCATGGCGACAAGCGGCTCGGACTTGCCCTGCTTGTTGACAGCTCTCACTCTGAACTTGTACTTGTGTCCAGGCGTCAAACCTTCCACTTGCAAGTTCGTTTCTGGTCCGTCGGTCTCTCCGGCCGGTACCCAGCGACCCGTAGCCTCATCCATCTTCTCCACAACGTATTTCTCTACGGGTTGTCCACCGTCGTCTTCCGGCGGCTTCCACGAGAGCTTGCATCCCTCGGCATGCACGTCGGATGTTCGAAGTGGACCCTGTGGCGGGCTGGGCTTGTCCAGCACGGTGACCTTAACAAACGCCTCATCCCGGCCATTGATGTTCTCCGCGATGACGGTGTACTTGCCGGATTCCGCGCGCGTAGCCATACGAACGCTCAGGCTGGTGTTGTAGTCCACGTGCTTGACCTTGACGCGATCGGTCGACCGGACCTCCTTACCGTTGAGCATCCATTTGGTGGTCGGCGGTGGCTCACCCGTCACCTTGCAGTCGAAGTTGAAGTTCTGGCCGGCCTTGATCCTCACCTCGATCAGATTCGTGCGATCTATCCTAGGCGCTTGATTGCGCGGCTTCGCGATAATGGTAGGCGTAGCGTCCGATGGCTCGCCTGGACCAGCTTTGTTCACGGCTCGCACGCGGAACTCATATGGCTGACCTTCGATCAGATCGGGTACGGTGGCGGAAGTCTCGTCCGCGGGTACTTCCAGCGCCTTTTCCCATTCGCCGTACTTGTCCTTCTTCTCAATTACGTAACCGGTAATCGGTGAACCGCCATCGTTCTCCGGCGCAGTCCATTTCAGATCGACATGATCTTTGTCCCAGTCGGTGGCTCGGAGATCACCCGGTTTGCCTGGCTCGTCTGTAGTCAGCCATAAAAAATCAATTTATCCCTAATTCTTTTAAATTACAAATATTGTAGAGATAAATAATTGTTTCAAATTAAATTTTGCATTTATTTATTTTTGCAGTTTTATTTAATTTATATCGTTTAATTTTAAATGCTGGATATTTTATCTTATATTTTGTTTATATATTTATTTAATTGGCATACCAAATGGATTCTTGGCTAGTATCGCTTGCTCCGCTTCCAAAGGCTTCGACTCGCCCTCGGCATTGACCGCGGCTACTCGGAAGAGATACTCCTTGCCAGGTGTTAAGCCTGTCACTTCGAGATCTATAAGAAAAAAAAAAATATTTAACGTTCTCCATTATATATTTTATTATTGTAAATTAAATTATGTATTGCGGAATAACAAATTTTCAAAAGAGATATTCAAATAAAAATATTTGACATAAAATTTCTATGCTAATAAAGAATTTAATATAGTTTATTTTATACAAAATTAAAATCCTGTCATAATTAATGCATTACAACCCAGCAATCACTCACTCGGCTCGGTGGAACGTCCGCAAGGTACCCAGCATCCGGTCTCCGGGTCCATCTTGTCCACTTGATAGTATTCAATGGGAGTGCCTCCGTCGTCTTTCGGTCTCTTCCACTTCAACTTGCATCCCTCCTTGTGCACATCCGACACTTGAAGCGGTCCCTCGGGCGGCATTGGCTTATCTGTCACCGTTACTTGTACCGTCACCGAGTCTTTGCCGGATGAATTGCTCGCGGTGACGGTGTAATCGCCACTGTCGTCTCGCGACACCGGGCGTATGCTAAACTTGGTATTGTAGTCGCTGTTGTCGATCTGCACTTTGCGATCGGAATGCAGCGGTATCGCGCCGTAGCGCCACTCAATATGTGGTGGTGGCTCGCCGATTACGTTGGCATCGAATTTCAGCATCGAGCCCGCCGACAGGGTAACGTCCCTCAAATTGCGCCTATCGATCTTCGGGGCCACTGCAACAAATAATTAGATCGATGATTATGTGCCAGTACCAATTTAGACAAATAGGCAGTTTATCGGGATTATTTTTGGAACGTGCAAACATTCTGTGGCAACAACGCAAGGCTGCTGTCTATAAATCGATTGTTTGTGCAATTAATATTTTAAACGTAACTGTTAATTATAAAAAATTAATAATATTTATCACAATTATTACGTGATATAAATATTATTTCTATATAACATGTAATAAAATTATTATAATGTAAAATAATTTCTTGTGTAAATTAATGTGTAAAAATATGTTGTAAATACTTACAGAAGCGTGGCTTAGCTGTGAATGTTTTGCTAGCTTCGCCAGGCTCAGATTGACCGGCCTTGTTCACAGCAATCACGCGGAATTGATAATCATTGCCTTCTATCAGACCGTGTACCAAAGCTTTGGTAGTCGGCGTTTCGGTTTCCAAAGCCTTCTCCCACATAGTGCTGTATTTATCTTTCTTTTCGACGATATAGCCTGTGATAGGTGATCCACCATCGCTAACAGGTTCTTTCCAGGTGAGTTCGACCTGGTTGGCTGTCCAATCGACTGGCTCTGGTGCTCCAGGTGCAGTTGGTACAGCTATAAAAAAATAATAAAATATTAGTAATTAATTAATTAAATAATAACAAAACTGTCATAACAATTTTTATGCCATCTTCAAACATCGTAAAATAGAAAATTGAAAACTAAGAACAAAACAAAATATACTAATTTTAAATTAATAATAATTGACAGAAGAGATGAAAATATTAAAAACGCAAATTAATTAATTACGATTATTTAAGATACCGATCTAAGATTACCGATAGATATTAAACATTGTTTGTTAATTTCATATTTAATATTTCATGCTTAAAAATGGTTGACACTTACTGAACGGATCTTTGGCTACAATGGAGCTGAATGTCTCCAACGGCTCGGATTCTCCCTCCTTGTTGAGCGCCTTGACTCGGAACTTGTACTCATGTCCGGGTGTAAGTCCTTCGACTTTCATTTCAGGTCCAGTAGTTTTACCAACTGGTAGCCAGACACCGGTTTCCGGATCAAACTTCTCCACGAGGTACCCCTCTATTGGTTCTCCGCCGTCGTCCTTGGGTTTCTTCCATTTGAGTGTACATCCTTCCTTGTGCACGTCGGATACTTCCAATGGTCCTTCTGGCTTGCCAGGCTTAGCTGATAAATAATCGAAAATTAAATCAATATGTCAAAATTTATATATTTATGAGTTACATGGCTATAAGCTAAGCATTAAATCAATTTTATTTTATTATATATTAAATATTTTTATATTAATTTTAGATATTTAATACTTAACAAAATATATAATTATTTTTTTAATTACAGAGAATAAAAAATATATAAAATATTATTATATAAAAACTACTCACAGACAACGGTGACTTCGACTTCGGCGGTGTCAGATCCGAACTGATTGACCGCTGTGATTTTATAAGTGCCGGTATCTTTGCGTTCGGGCTTGTCGTTGAAGAATTTGCTATTGTAAGGAACATTCTGTATCCTGCGGTGTGTAGTCTGCTGAATACTCTTATTGTTGATCACCCACGTGACATCTGGCGGCGGTTCGCCAATAATCTTGACATCGAAGTGGAACGCTTCGTTCTCGCGTACAGTTATGTCGCGCAGATTTCGTCTGTCGATCTTTGGCGGTACTGAGTAATAAAAAAAAATTATTTCAATTAACAAATATATCTTTCATCTATCAATATTTTCCAACTTACAATTTTCCAACTTACAATTTTTCAAATATTTTTATATCAAGAAATTCATACTAAATACTATTTGGAAAGGTTAATTAAATTTTTTTAATAACGTTAGATTCTTTTTATCAAAAGAGAATATTCTTTTAAAATTAGTGAAAAGAATACAATTAAGATATTTGTAATGAAGAACTTACGTCTTCGACTCTTGGCTGTGATCGGTTTGCTAGCATCGGACGGTTCGCCGAGTCCAGCAGCATTGATGGCTTTAACTCTGAATTCGTATTCAACACCTTCGTCAAGATTATCAACGCGACCCTTGCAATCCGGTCCCGTCTCGCACGCCTTAATCCATTTAGGCGCGCCCTTCTCACGTTTCTCGATCACATATCCAGTGATTGGAGATCCGCCGTCTGTTAACGGTGGAGTCCATCGAAGATCTACGTGATCCTTATCCCAATCAGTCGCCTCCGGACGGCCTGGTGGACCAGGTTCATCTGCAGTGCAAAAATAAAGTTAGTTATCTGATCTAAAAATATGGATATAAAATTTGCTGAGAGATCAAAGTAAACTAATTATTCTTGACTTCTTTATCCCTTTCGTTATTTTTTAACAAAAATTTAAATTAAGTTATATACAAATATAAGAAATTAATATTCTATATCTACTACTTCGCAGGATTATAATATATCATAGAAAATACAATTATGTAAGGAAAATAAAAAAATTTTAAGAATCAGATCTTACCGAATGGATTCTTGGCGACAATTCCGTGCTCAGTCTCCAACGGTTCAGACTCGCCCTCCGCATTCACAGCGGCGACACGGAACTTGTACTCTTGTCCGGGTACCAGGTTCTCTACAACCATGTTGGGTTCCTTGGTGCGTCCGACCGGTATCCATCTACCAGTCTCCGTATCCATCTTTTCGACCACGTAGTGATCCAAAGGCGCGCCACCGTCGTCGAGTGGTGGGTTCCATTTGAGGGTGCAGCCTTCTTTGTGCACATCGGATACCTTAAGTGGTCCCTCGGGCTTACTGGGCTTGTCCAGCACCAAAATCTCAATCGATGCCTCATCTCGACCGGAACTGTTCTCCGCCTTTAAAGTTAGAGTGCCACAGTGCGCTCTGGTTGCCGAGGAAACTACGAATTTGGTCTTGTAATCTTCCACCTCGATGGTCAGCACGTTGCCAGACTCTTGTTTGGCTTTGTTCAAGAACCAGGTCTTGCTTGGCGGCGGTTCACCCGTGACTTTGACGTCAAGGCGAATGACATTGCCGGCCTTGATCGTGATGTCTTTCAGATTGGTGCGATCAATCTTCGGCGCGGCGTAACGATCCTTAGCAATCAAGGTGTCACTGGGTTCGCTGGGTTTGCTCTGACCGCCTTTGTTCACGGCTTTAACTCGGAATTGATATTTTTGACCCTCTACGAGATCCGGCACTTTGGCTTCAGTTTTGCTGCCCGGCACTTCCTCAGCCTTTTGCCATTTTCCATATTGATCCTTCTTCTCGATAATATACTTCTCGATAGGAGCACCGCCGTCTTTCTTCGGAGCCTTCCATTTTAGATCTACGTGATTCTTCGACCAATCTTTCAACTCGGGTTTTCCGGGCGCGTCGGGCTCGGCTGTATTTAAAAATTAAAATTAAAAAATGTGTCATGATAAATAATTTATATTATAATATAGCAATTTGTACAATTATTAAAAAAATATAAATAATAAATATTCTTAAAATGATACAAAATAACGAAATTCTTGAAATGCTTAATTATTTTCATATCTGGGACTACAATAGTACACTCAATAATTGAAAAAACTTTTTAAATTATAATTGTATATAAAGAATAACAAAAATATAAGACTCACAATAAGGATTCTTAGCAGTTGTCGGTATGGATGTTTCCAAAGGCTCTGACTCGCCTTCGGAGTTAACAGCTTTGACACGAAATTGGTAATCTTTGCCCTCATTTAAGCCAGATACATCCGCTTCCGGAGTCTTGCTTGTGCCACACGGTACCCAACGTCCAGTGTCCACATCCATCCTTTCGATAACATAATGGTCAACTGGTTCACCGCCATCATCCTCAGGTTTGTCCCATTTCAACTTGCAGCCTTCTGCCGTCACGTCAGACACTTCGAGTGGTCCTTTCGGTTTGCTGGGTTTGCTCAACACCTGATTATTAAAAGAATATAATATAATTAAATATATTTGAATACATAATTTTATATTTTTAGCAAAAAATTAATTTATATATTTAACTCTTATGTATAAAATTGTTTTATATAAACCTGAAGCTCGACGTCGACTTGATCGGTGCCGCTGTCGTTCTTGGCGATGACGGTGTAAGTGCCGGCGTCCGAGCGCTGGAGTTTGTTGAGAACCAACATAGTATGGTAATCCTCGTTCTCAATCTTGAGCCGGTCCATGCTCTTCAATACTGCATCCTGGCGTTTCCATGTAACAACCGGCGGCGGTTCGCCCTTGATATCGGCCTCGAGCCGCAACATTTGGCCGATTCGCATAACTTTCTTCTGGAGATTCTTGCGATCGATATGAGGAGCCACTGTGAACCAAACAAATAATATAATAAATAATATAATGACATAAAAATTACAATTATAACGGTTAAATAATTTGAGTTAAATATCGATAATAAAATTTAATAAATTGATGCATAAATATGAACTTACGGAATCGGGGTTTGGCGACGACGCTCTTCGAAGTGTCGCTTGGCTCACCAGGTCCAGCTCTATTAACTGCCACGATCCTGAACTCGTATTCGTGACCTTCCTGAATACCGTCGGTCACTTTGGCGGCTGTGCGATCTCCCGGAACTTTGGCGACGTCCACCCATTGTCTACCCTCTTTATCTCGCATCTGTACAATGTATTTCTCAATCGGCGCACCGCCGTCGTCCTTGGGTGGTGTCCATTCCAGATCGACGAAGTCTTTGTCCCAGTTTCTAAGCTCCGGTCGGCCGGGTTTGCCCGGTTCGTCTGGAATTAAGAAACGACATATAAATATATGATTAAAGGAACTATTAAATTAAAGGTTTTATATTTTTAACACACATACCAAATGGATTCTTTGCTATAATAGATTTGTCCGCCTCCAGATCGTCAGATTCGCCTTCTCTGTTGACGGCTTTCACACGGAATTTATAAGGCTTGCCCTCTTGTAATCCGGTGATGGTCGCTTCCGGCTCGGTACTGCGACCGCAGGGTATCCATTGCCCTGTTAGAGGATCCAGCTTCTCAATTTCGTAATATTCGACCGGTGAGCCGCCATCATCCTCAGGTTTATCCCATTTAAGTTTGCAGCCGTGTTTGTTAACGTCACTTACTTCCAATGGACCCTATAAATTTAAAAAAAAAATTTAATCTTATTATCCAACTTCTAAATTATTAAATCAATCAATTAATAATTAGATAATTATGATTATTTTAAATGTTTTATTTCATCTTGATTTTAACTCAAAGTTTTGATTATTTATTTATTTCTTATATCTTTAATAAGAATTTTAAAAAAGAATTCTATTGCAAAGTTTAATTCTTAATAACATTTGATAATTTTCCTTTATATTTATTATAAAAATTTTAATTTATATCTGTATGTCCTAAATTAAAAAATCAAATCACCTTCGGTTTGCTGGGTTTGCCAAGAACGGTTATTTCTACCTCAGCAGTATCTTCGCCGACTTCGTTCTTCGCTTTGATCACATATTTGCCGGTGTGAACGCGTTTTGTCTTCAGAATAAAGAATTTAGTGTTATAATCAATATTGTCAATTCGTATCGTGTCATCTGATACGAGTTCTTTGTCTTTGAAGGTCCAGGTGACTTTTGGCGGTGGTTCGCCAATTATGTTCACGTCTAGAGTTACGGTAAGGCCGACTTTCACCGTTATGGGTTGCAAATTTGTGCGATCGATGTACGGTTTTACTGCAAAAGTAAAATAAAATTAATTAATAAAAACTATTTGTTTTCTATATAGAATACAATTTTACACATTTCTTAAACAAATTTTCATAAGATCAATTATACGATTTTTCTAGCAACGCGTATTTTTGTGCTTCTGCGATAAAAAAACCATAATTTATAGAAATGAAACTACACTTACGCCAACGAGCTTTGGCAGTGTGTGGATTGGTAGCCTCGCTAGGTTCACCAGGACCAGCCTTGTTGACGGCGCGTACTCTGAATTGATACTGATTGCCTTCTTCCAATCGAGGAACTGTTCCGGTACATATGGGACCTTCCACTTCGGCGGCTTTGACAAAGTTGGTACCAAATTTATCCTTCATCTCAATGATATATCCAGTGATCGGCGCACCGCCGTCTCTTATCGGTGGTTCCCACTTAAGTTTCACCATATTCTCTGACCAATCAATGATCTCTGGAAGTCCAGGTGCCGCTGGAGCGTCTAAAACATTTCAAGAATTCCATCTTCAATAATATAAAAAGTTACGCAATGTTTCTAAACATATATAATATTTTAAGTATAAAAATTGTATCATTTCTAATTAAAAATTTTATTAGTAAAAAAGTACTATAAATTATATAATATTTAAAACTACGTAATATAATATTTAGAATTGTTTAATTTAAATTATTTGCAAAAATAAATATAAAAATTATAATCAATCTTGAATGCTATACCGTATGGATTTTTGGCCACAATGGGAACATCGGATTGCAAAGGTTCCGATTCTCCCTCCTCGTTCACAGCCTTCACGCGAAATTCGTACTTATGGCCGGGCTCCAAACCAGTAATCGTATGTTCGGTTTTTTCAGGGTCTACGATGCCGGCTGGTACCCAACGACCTGTTGTCACATCCATCTTTTCTACTAGATAGCTGGATAAAGGAAGACCACCGTCATCCTTAGGCTTATTCCACTTCAATTTGCAGCCTTCCTTATGCACATCCGTTACTTCCAATGGCCCTTCCGGCTTTCCAGGTTTATCTGTAAAATTGTATAAAGTTTTACAATGTAACTGTATATTATTCCAATGTTAAAAATGTTTTACTTAATTAAAACATAAGAAAGAGTACTTATTCCATTTTTCTTTTTTTTCAAAGAGCAATTTATATATTTTATAAAATATTATAAATTAAGAGAAACTTTTTTTAGATATTTAAGTTCAAAAGAAATGTGAATATAAAATATTTAAATTTAGTTACCGAGAATGTTAATCTCCACGTCGGCCTCATCCTGGCCGGAATCGTTCACAGCCTTGATGGTGTATTTGCCAGTTAACTTGCGACTGGTATTCGTCAACTGGATCTTGGTAAGGTAGTCTTCGTTATCGATCTTAACGTTAGCACCAGTTTGAAGCGGTGCTCCAGCGAAGCTCCATGTAACGGTTGGAGGAGGTTCACCCTCGATATCGACTTCTAACTTCACCAGTTGGCCTGCTCTGACTTTAATAGTCTGCAGCTTGTCGCGATTGATGTGCGGTTTCACTACAAGAAATAATAATATTATTCTAAATTATTTTATTTTAATATAAAATATAAATTTCTAATTTATTCTTATTTAACATCCTGTTTGTGAAACATAATATATATAAAGTAAGTTTTAAAATCTATTAAATTTTATACAAGTAGAATTAAAAGAATAAAAATTAAATTATAAATATAAATTATATTTGACTTTAATTTGAAATAGATCAAATATGTTTGGAATTTTTAATATACAATAGCTACGAATTATTTTTGTAAATCAGTTTAATAGAATAAAGTACTCACGGAATCTTGCTTTTGCAATATGTGGCTTCGTCGGGTCACTGGGCTCCGATGGTCCGGCTTTGTTAACAGCGCGAACACGGAATTGATAAGTGGAACCCTTTTTCAAACCGGTGACACGACCTTTCGGCTGTGGCGAGTCGGTGACGAGAGCTTCTTCCCATTGTGACGAAGGTTTCTCTTTCTTCTCGATGATGTAGCCGGTGATCGGCGCACCACCGTTGTTCTTGGGAGGTTCCCACTTGAGATCGACACGATCGACGTCCCAATCTTCGAATTCCGGTACACCAGGCTTGCTGGAGACGTCTGCCAAATAAAAACCACATTCAATATAACTTCTAACGCAATATTAAATATATATCAATCAATAGATATATCACATGTTAAGTTGCACATTTACATAAATTAAAATAAAAATATAGTTCATATAATTTAAAATAAAAGTTTTATTTTATGCATAATATATTTTTTTATTTTTACAAAATAAAATATTAATAAATAAAATATTTGTAGCTTTCTAAAACTATGAATTCTTTCATTGACTTTTACTTCATAAATCTCAATAGATACTATACTTAAAAAATATATATTTACCGTAAGGATTCTTTGCAATTGTGGAGCCGTCTGATACGAGGGGTTCCGATTCTCCTTCTTCATTCAGAGCCTTCACTCTGAACTCATATTCGTGTCCTTCTTGAAGACCCTTTATGTCCATCTCAGTGTCCGCTGTGCGACCAACTGGTATCCATCTACCAGTCGATTTATCCAATTTCTCTACTTGGTAACCAGTGATAGGCTTGCCGCCATCGTCTTCTGGCTTGTCCCATTTGAGTTTGCAAGCGTTTTTCGTGACATCCGCCACTTTGAGTGGTCCTTTCGGTTTTCCAGGAGCCGCTATATGGAAAAAATATCACAATTTTAAATGCAATAATAAAAATAATTATAACAAAAACGATATTTAATATATAAAAATTTTAAATATATATTTGCTAAGTGTTAGATAAAATAAATATAAAGACAATGTAAGTTTAAAGAATAAACATACATATATAAGTACATATAATACATATATAAGAATAAACATACATGTACAATAAGTTGGAAATTTTTTCAAAATTTATTTGGTACTCACATAATATTGTAACTTCGACTTCCGCCTCGTCCTCGCCGTGAGGATTGACAGCTTTGATCTTCCATACGCCGGTGTTTTTGCGCAAGCTATCAGATATAGTAAGTTTCGTATTGTAATCGACGTTGACGATTTCAATGTTCTCGCCGGATTTGACTTCGTTGCCAGCGTGATACCATTTAATCTCCGGTGGTGGTTCACCGCGCACGTCTACGTCATATTTTACAAGCTTACCGGCTCTCACGATGATCGGCTTCAAGTTCGTTCTGTCGATTCTCGGTTTGACTATAATAAACGAAATTGTACAAATTATCTTTTTGTAAAAAAGATAAGTTCAAAAATATTTTATAAAATTTTTCAATGTTTAATTCATTAATCTTTACGTTTGATAGAAACTCACGGGCTTTGTGCTTGCAAATCTGCATCTTCGACGCATCTGACGGAGGCGACGGTCCGGCTTTGTTTACGGCGATAACTCGGAATTGGTACTCGCCCCTTTCTTTTAGATCAGGTACTTTGCCTTCAAGTTGATCTCCAGGTACCTCAATGGCTTTCTCCCAATCTGGCTTGTATCGATCCTTCTTCTCGATAATGTATTTCTCAATCGGCGCTCCTCCGTCGAATTCGGGCGGTGCCCATTTCAAGCTTATGGATTCGTTGTCGTAATCAGTGACCTCAGGTGTTCCGGGCTTCAAAGGTTCGTCTAAAATAGAATTATTTAATTAAGTTTGTATTCATTGTATTCAGACTACATATTTCTTTTTAATTAAGAAAAAACTTTATTTAAAATCAGAAAATAATTGACATGAATTTGAAGAAAATCAATGTACCATATGGATTCTTGGCGACAACTCCGCGCTCGCTCTCTAGAGGTTCCGAATCGCCCTCATCGTTGACAGCTGTGACGCGGAATTTGTATTCGCTTCCGGGATTCAAACCGGTGACCTCAAATTCGGTATTGGGTGAGTTTCCAGGCACTTTGCCTACCCTGACCCATTTGCCGGTCTTTGTGTCCATCTTCTCAATTTCATATTCTTTGATCGGTACACCACCGTCATCCTCCGGTTTCTCCCATTTCACCTTAGCCGTGGTATTGGTAACGTCACTGACTTCCAGAGGTCCTTTAGGAGCGCTCGGTTTTCCTGTGGAAAGAAATTTTACTGTAAAATCTCTCTTCTACATAAAGTACCTGTTATAATTTTTTTCTTAAATTTAATTTGTATTATTAATACAAAAGCAAGATAAAGTTAATTAGCAAATGTATATCATTAATTAATTATCTTTATTTTTAGAATTTATTTATTTATTTATATCACGGGTATAAATTTAATTTCAAAACTAAACCTACCAAGTACTGTGAGTTCGACGGTTTCTTCATCTTTGCCGTTTGCGTTTTCAGCAATCAGCGTGTACTTTCCAGTATCCTTGCGCATGGCGTTGACGATCGTGAAATCGGTGTGATATTCCACATTGTCGATCTTGATGCGCTCAGTGGTGGTCAATGGAATATTGTCTCTCCAGACCCATTTGGTTTCTGGCGCAGGTTCACCAGATACATCTACAGACCATTTGTGAGTACGGCCAGCCTTGATAATAATTGATTTGAAAGTGGTCCGGTCAATTCTCGGTCGCACTAAAAATATTAATTTTTCAATGTTAAATTAATATCTACATCGCTTAAATTATAACAATATATTTCAAAAATGTAGAATATTCTTAAGTTCTTAGATGTAATTTTATTTTGAAAGAGATAAATGTATGACAAGTTTGATAACTTGCAATATTGTTTGCAATTTTGATAACTATCAAAACATGAGTTAAGGATTAAACCAGGAAGGCTCAACTTACTATTTCTGTGTTTGCAAAGATGGTTATCTGTGGGATCGCTGGGCTCGCCAGGTCCAGCCTTATTGTGAGCACGTACGCGGAATTGATAAACCATCTTCTCCTTGAGGCCTTCAACTTTAACCTCCGGAGTCGCATCGTTGGTCTTTGTCACTTCGACCCAGTCGACGGCGAATTTGTCCTTCATCTCGATGGTATAGTGAGTGATTGCTCTGCCACCATCGCTCTTTGGTTTCTCCCACTTCAGGGATACGCTGACATTATCATAATCAAAGATGTCCGGTTTGCCAGGCTTGCCAGGCTCATCTGTCGAAAGAATTATATAAAATTAATATACAACGCTCTAATAATATTAAAATTTTTAAATAGTAATAGATAAAGCAATATATATTAAGCAATTTTATTTGACTAAAAATTATATTTTTAAATAAATTATTGCGATTTATGTTTATTAAATGACAAGTAAAAATATCTAATTCATGGAATAGGAATTTACCATAAGGATTTTTGGCAAGAATGGCTTCTTCAACCTCCAAAGGTTCAGATTCGCCTTCTTTATTGACCGCCTTGACACGGAACTTGTACTTCTTCTTAGGCGTCAGACCAGAAAACGTGAAGGTCTTTTCGTTAGGACCGACTTCTCCAGCTGGGATCCATCGTCCGGTCTCCAGATCCATCTTTTCCAACACATAACCAGTGATGTCGGTACCGCCATTGTCATCAGGTTTGTCCCATTTGACTTTAACATGATTAGCACGGACTTCCTCTACATTGAGTGGTCCTAACGGAGCCGATGGTTTGTCTGTAAAAGAATAATATTTATATGCAATGCAATTTTAATTGTTGTGATCAAAAGCAAGTCGAAATTTTTCAGATAATTTTAAATATTGTCAAATAGACAACTTGAAACAGTAATGTAACCTCAGATATATTTATCACATTTCTTGCTTGCTAGTTCACTGGAAGTCTGATTGATGTTGACCTAACCTAGCCAGATTCAACCCGAATCAATCAGACATTTCTCCAGTGTTGGTTTAATATTTTTTTATCTAACTAATTTTACAAAAATATGCAATTAACAACTTATATTAACTGTCAAAATTTTTATTTAAAAAATTGAATAATTTTTGAAAGTTTTTTTATATCAATAGATACGATAAACTCACCAAGAACGACAACATCGGCGACGCTTTCGCATGTGCCGGAACCATTCGTCAGCACCAGTTTATATTTTCCGGAATCAGGTCTGGTGGTTCTTCTAACTGTCAATACAGTATTTCTCTCATACTTGTCGATCGTAATTCTCTCGGCCGCATCCTGGATGATTTCTTTCTGGCCCAGAAGCCAGCGGACTTCCGGTTCCGGCTCGCCGGCATACTTGATGTCGTATTTAATAACCTGGCCCTTCTTGACAACTAGATTTGTGAGACCTTCGCCAACAATGTATGGCTTGACGAATCGACATTTTGCGATGATCGGCTTGGTAGCGTCAGATGGTTCACCGGGACCAGCTTTGTTCACTGCTCGTATTCTGAACTCGTACTGCGTACCCTCTTTCAGACCGTCGATGGTCGCTTGAGTCACGTCGCCTTCGATCTCTTTGCCCTTCGTCCATTCCTTGCCGAATTTCTCCTTGTATTCAATAACGTAACCAGTAATCGGTGCACCACCATCGTTTTCGGGCTTCGTCCATGTCAGATCAGCGTGATCCTTGTCCCAGTCAGTTACGTCGACGTTCGTAGGTTTGCCTGGCTCATCTAGCACACGCAAACATATTTTTATTTTTATTTTTCACTCCTTTTTGAGCTTTCGAATAATGATATAGTAAAATAAAATTAAATCGAAAAATTAGAATTAATAAGATAATTAAAAAAAAATTATTTTATATATGTATTTAACATCTTTTACATCTATAATAAAACTTTTTCATCAAACTTTTCTTTCTCTTTCTTTCTTTTAAATAAAAAAATAAATAAATATCAATAAAAAATAAGATCGAAAAAGGGCTTTTTGATTAAACAAATTTGAATGATTTAAGAATAGCAATAAAAGCTAAAGCTAGACTTTCATGCTCACGTTTAATGTTTACCATAATATATAAATACATCTGTATCTGTGTTGTGTATTTGTATATTATGGTAAACATTAAAATATTAAACGTGAGCATGAAAGTCTAGCTCTGGCTCTTATTGCTAATTCTTAAATCATTCAAAAATAAATATATTTTATTTTTCATAGAGTTTCAATTTATTTTAGTTTAGTGAAACTCACCCCATGGATCCTTGGCTAAGACGGGTTTGCCGAACATCGCCGGCTCGCTGGAACCGAGCTTGTTTACAGCCCGTATGCGGAACTTGTACTCCCTCTTCGCAATGAGATCTGTGACTTTGTAGACGCACTTTTCGTCTGACGTGACCTCCCCCACGCTGTCCCATTGCGACTTCAGGCTGAGATCGAGACGTTCGATGACGTACTTTGTAATAGGCGCACCGCCGTCGTCCTTCGATGGTTTGAACGATACGACGCAGGAGTTCTGGAAGATCTCGTTGACCTCAACGTCGTACGGCGGGGATGGAACGTCTAAGAAGAGAATAATTCATAGATAAAAAAAATCGACCAGAAATCTACAATTTTTTAAATAACTTTTATTAAAACAACACAAACCCTGCATGATAATGTTAACATCCTTCACTTCTTCGCCCTGATTGTTACCAATCTTTATCTGATAGATTCCAGATGACTCGCGCTGCGGCTTTTTGATCTTATACGTGATCTTGTCCTCACCAACGATGATCTCGACGTCTTTGAGAGGCAGCGCCTTACCGTCCTTCATCAGTTTCGCTTCCACTTGACTCTGCTTGGTGCCCTCAACTGTGCAGATCACAAATGTAAATTTCACAACTTATATTCTAACACTTGCGCACATGAACTATTATATTCATTAGTTTTATTGCATTTGCTGTCGAATTTTTTCTATTAAGTTATAAAATGTGATTCATTACCTTTGAAAGGCACGACAAAGACCAACGGTGCGCTGCAGGGTCCTTCGACTTTATCGGGGAAGTCGACGATAGGCTTACTCTCGCCTCTTTTCACAGTGAGCTTGCAACTACTGGTCAATTGGCCGCTCTCGCACATGACCTCACCGTCATCTGTCATCTCCACTTTGTTGAATACCAGCTGGTGCTTGCCACCACCCAGATTCTTGACCTCCACTCTTTCATTGGGCTCAATTTTCTCGTCGTTGAAGTAGAATATAGCCGGCGCAGTTTGATCCTGAAGCTCGACGTCCAGCACTAATTTCTCCCTTTCTATTGCGACTGTGTCCTTTAGCTTCTTGTTAAAGCGATTAGCGTCTGCAAATGCAAAGACACATGATTACATACAATCTTTTATTTTTATAGTAAATAATTGAAAATCAAAGTTGAAATAATAAATTATTTACAATTTATTACGATTTCAGCTTCCGTCTTATCGGCATTGCTTACGCAGGAGTAGAGCCCGGCGTCGGTTACCTTGCAGTCTTTAATGACAAGCTTGCATTTCCTGCCCTCTTCCTTGATTTGTATCCTAACGCAAAAATCGCTTATAGAAAATGTTTCCAAAGTCAAAGATAAACATACGAAAAAAATTGTCATTGGTTGCCTGAGGCGTACCTCTTGTCAGGCGTAATCGCCTGGTCACCCTTGAACCATTGCACTTCACCACCAACATCGTCCAGCTCGCAAAGTAATGTCAGTGTTTCCTTTTCTACGAGCTGTTGGTGTTTCAGCACTTTGACAAATTTGTAAGGATATTCTGAAAAAAAAATCATTATTAATTTTTATAAGTTTAAAATTTGGAGCAAAATATATCATAAGAAATTGTGTTAAAATGGAATTGTAAAATAAAAACGGTACTCACCGACAATAGTGAGAGTAGTTTCGGTATGATCCGCTTGCTTGCTTATCTTACAACTGTATTCGCCACTGTCTTCGAGAGTTGCGCTCTTGATCGTCAACCGGCACACGCCTGACATATCCTTGGAAATACTGAACTGTTCTCCATCCTGAAGAGCAACAATAATAATTGGTTTACTAAAAAGTACTAAATAATAATTTACACAAATTTCTGATGTGATAGATTACCTCGAGTTTTGTTTTGTCCTTGTGCCAGGTAACTTGTGCCATGTTGGAACTGACTGTACACTCCATGTAGGCCTCATGCTTGGTGAAGCCACTTGTCTTCTTCGACAACGGTTTCGTGAAGGTGTACGTCGGATCGGGCTCTGGAATTTGAAAAATTCGAAAACATCATAAAATTTTACTCGCCATGAAAAATTGATTGAAGAGAAGAATTTGTTAAAAATATATACCGTCCACGTTGAGGAAGCCTGTGCTGGATACACCGGCAATTTCGATCGTGTATTTTCCAGTGTCTTCGACTTTGGGTCCAGTGATGATGAGCTGATAACAATCTTCCTCGTTTTTGAACTTATATTTGGCCGATGGAAATAGTTCCTGTGCAAAAAGCAAATTATCTTTAGCACCAACACTTTTAGTTACTTTCTTTCTATATTATATACACACTTTCTACATTATATAATCATAAATACATTACATACAAAAATAAATAATTTTGAGTTTAACAAATACTTTTTAAAAACTGAAAATTATTTTTGAAAGTAAAAGACACACTCACGTCCTTTCGGAAGAACCATTTCGGCTTGCAGTTCGGTTTCGAAAAGTTCGCTTCAAAGACGACCTTCTTATCTTTGCCTTCCTTGGCGTATTGGTCCACCAGTGGCTTCAGGAAGCTATCTTGTTTCTGTGAAAGAAAAGTCACCGATCAGCCATGGATCATGTTCAGGAATTCAACTGACAAGAAAATGCAGTAATAATAATCGTTTAACATCGATAGCAATCGCTCTGCCAGGCGATACAGCAAAAGTAGTAGAAAAAGTCGGCAGAAAAATCGAAAAAACGACGCCGACGCCACTCCGTACGAGTAAGAGAACGGAGAGCGATAAAAAGGAAAAAAAGAACGAAGACAAAATCTCCGTGAACAATTCGGGAAAAATTCTAGAAAAAAATATTCTAGAGAAAAAACGTAAAAAAATCTGTGAAAGGCTCGATCGTTCGTCGAACGTTTTCAAGCCTGTTCGCCAAACGACTTGTCATGCTTATTACTGTTAAGATTGGCGTTAAATGGTTTTCAGAAGAAGAAGAGTAAGTATGTGGGATTTTTCGAGAAAAGAAGTATTCATTGCTTGAGCAAGATGCGCGAGAAGAGAGAGTTGCTGGAGAGGCGCGCTGCTTATGACACGACATTTATTTAAGATACGACATCGAAAGAAGATGTTACTTAACATGAGAATTAAAAAAAATTGCATATTGTCATTATATAGAAAGAAGGTTTTAATAGTTTTAATAGTTTTAATAATTTAATAGTTCCAAAATATTTGAAAAAAATTTATTCTTACATAGCTAAATTGATCTATGAATAATATTAAATACAAATATTTTTATGATCAATAAATAAAAATAGAAATTAATCTTTATTTATATTACGTTAGCTACTTCACTTTAATCTAATTAAACTTTTTATATAATTAAAAAAAAAATTTTGATATAGAGATATGTCTACTTTCATGTTCTTCATTAATTATTTATTTACCGAAAACTCCTTTTCTTTGAAATTGCTATGAGCAATTTCTTTATCATGGAGAATGTGAAAAATTGCCACAAGTTAAAATGCCTTTAAGTAAATTAAAAAATTAAACAAAGTGTTCGCCACAGAAAAGTAAGAGAAGTATTAGAAGAAGTAAAATTACACGTAAAGATCGAATCAGAGAATGCAATAGAGTAGAAACAGAGATATAAGTTTAATCTCAAGAAATTAACTGAAAGACAATAGAGTTCATTAATTAGAAATAGTAGAAACGGAAGTAGTCTGGAGCGAGAGATAATTAATTTGTTCGGCAGAATCGTCGAGAGAGAAAAAAATGAGTTCTCAAGCGAACCAAAGATAGAAGATTCAAACAGATCGTCGAGTTTCGGAAACTGTCGAGACAAGCGGCAGGCAGACAGACAATCGACATCACGTGAGATTATTGATAGGAGTTCGATTCACGTGAGAATCGGTCCAACCTCCGTCTTGATGAAGTGATGCAGGGTCGGCCAGTCGGGAATTAATTCGGCCAGAGACGGCCTACGCAATCCACTATTCTAGAAACAACAAAAGGCATATCCGCGATCACAGCATCTTCTCGAAATCACGATTGTCGATCTTGCTCGCTGATGAAAGCCCACAATGGACTTCCATTTAGTATTTGGTTGTCATCGCTAGCTTTATTTATACTGATGTAATGATTTCGTAATTTTCGTTATTTCGGATTTTTTGGATAAAATGTCGCTGCTCGTCATTATGAGTTATGTATGATTAATTACAGTTACAATTATTAAATAATTATAACAGGTATTGCAATAATTATTAAATTGTTACAAAATATTAAGTCTATCACACTAAATATCTCTCTCTCGCTAAACACAATGTACAGTTATTGTGAATAATCGGTTATTATCATTAATATTTTCGCTTCTAATTAATATTATTCTAATTTTTATCGCATTGATAATCCTAAGTAATTTCTTAATCAAATGAGTCACATATGTAACTCAACAGAGCAAAGTGCAAAAATGTTAACTCTAAATGATTTACTTAATCTCTTCGAATAATCAAACTTAATGATCTACGTTGTTATGTGTTTTAGTTCAAAAACATTCATGAAAGCGTATGCATGCGTGACAACAAGCGTACACATGGTGATAAGATTTTTTTTAGTTAAGCTAAGCGTATAAAGCATGGATTGATAATTTTTATTTCAGCCGTGTGAGTTTATAATAGTTTGTGAATAATATCTACGAATTTATATTCAAACTTTTATAGTTTTCCAAAATTTTTAGAGATTATTTGGAAAAGCGCAGGCCAAAGGGATTTTTTAATCGTAAATAGTCGCAAGAATTTGTACAACTTTTCAAAAATAATAAATTTGACTATAGTTATTGTTTTTTTTTCGTCAAGTCTATTAAATATAAATCTAAAATTCTTGCGAGTAACTGACTTGACTTCTGTTACGTTTTCATTGATCTATTCGGTTTACATCCTCAGTCGGATTGATGTAACATCTGTTTGAATAAAAGATCAATTAGAGTTACTTTAAATGCCCACATTGTGCAAGAGCTGATCTCTTTGCCGTGTTACAACACAATTTTTCTGTCTTATCTCGCTTAGAGGGTCTAGTTTAGAAAACCCAAAGACCGGGTATTCTGGAAAATTATAATTATAAATTATCGAAACGTAAAAAGTTTTGTGAAAAATTAAAATATTATTTTACTATCTTTATACACACATATAATTAAACTCATATAAATTTTCAAATAATTTGGCACTTTTGGCAATATGAAATGTGAGTGATGTTTGGACATTTCGAAGCCCTTAATCAACCAGAATACCGCGGAGGAAGTGAAAGCCTTGCGGGGCAATACTGCTCTCTGTTTCTTGGTTTTTGGAATCTAGTGCAAGGATGTATTGCTTTAAGACTTTCTTTTTCGCGAACCTTCTCCTTGGCGCGTGTCGCTAGTTTTGGCCAGTCGACGATTAGCTCCTGCAAACTTGGCCTGCGCTGAATGTCGAAGATGTCCTGCATGCCCGGCACACACACATCATGGTTAATGCCACTCTTATACAATTAGCCAATACCGATTTTCAAAGAACTCTGATATAAAAAAGAAATCGACAGATGAAGATAAGCAAATTTTAAAGAAAAATTATGTTCATCAACTATTTTTAATTTTGCAATGCGTCTTTTCTAAAATAATTAGTGTATATATAAAACTGTGAATTTTTGGACGTATCAGAGTTCTTATTTTTTATAATACTTCTATGCGTTTAGAGATAATGCTTTTTTCCTGTGGAGAGTGTCACATGCAATAGATTCGGAATAGTGCCAATTTCGTCACATGTTTTATTGACAATCTTTATGTTCTTTGTTCTATCAGCATAGGCTCTCTAGTTACGTTAATTGTGCTTGCTTGTTAATAGACAAATGTGTAATACAGTGAAAATGCACAACTAGCCCTCAATATACATAACGATGGAAAATAATCTGTAACATAATTTCTACATAATTTTATTAAAAAAATTAATTTTGCTACTTTATTAATTCTCGATAATAAAATTAAATTAACTCATCTAAAATTTGCTTAATAATTTTTAAAAAATTTAAAAGAGAGATTTAATAATTTAACACAAGTTTGTTTCAATGAAAGGAATCGAGGGATAGATGTAGTTCGAAGTGCAGCATTAACTCTAAACATACTCATACGTAAAAGTGCATACGTTAAGGATAAGAAAAGAAAGTTATGTCGCTTGTGCGACAAAATAGAGTTTGGGAAAATAAAGAATTTATGTGCCACAGTCAGGATTCAAATGTATCGCAAGAGACAAATATTTGAGAAATTTGTTGAGAATTTAAAAGACGCATCTATTATTCTACAATTCTTTTCCAGTTAATTATTCTTATTCTTTTAATTTAGTTGACAAAAAAATGCGAAAGACAAAAACGAATTTTTAACGTCTCGTCGTTCAAAAATTGTCATCGTCATATTGTCATTGTCATTACGGGGTTCACTACGTAGGGTAGCTCGAAAAAAAACCTTGAGCCAGCTCCAGTTACTTTCACCCTTCCTGACAAGGGAAATTCGAAGGATCTCCACACCTTCCGTCAAGATCACTATCTCCTCGCCGTCTTGGAACCAGCTCGGTCCGTGCACACCGTTTTGCGACTAAGGGGAGAAAGGTAGACAGAGAAAAGAAGAAGAAAGAGAGGAGCAAAGAAAATGCACTGAGATTTGAGATCTTGAAGACGAGGCATCGCAAAAAATATGTTTCTGCGCAAGATTAGCAAAATTGCTATAAACTATGCTAAAGAAAAAAATTACATACATTTGATTAATTGATCATCTATCAAAAATATCAATGTAGAATTTTATCCTAAATTCGTAAAAAATTCAAAAATTTCATCAATTCTGTCGAAGCTCATCCATTATAATTTTTAGCCAAATAAAAATTAAAAAAAAAAAAATTATTTTTTAGTAATAGAACTGTCGAATTAAAATAAATAATGAGACAAATTTTAAATTAGAATGTGGATTTAGAGAGTGGCTAATTCAAAAGATGGTATTAAATTTATGTTACATATTGAACATCGATATATGTCACCTGTTCTTACATTCACGAAGACATCAGGCTGTTAATGACGTGCTAAAATCGCATTCTCGCATCCACGTTACGTGCATTGCATCGATAGCGATTGTAAATATGATACGTAACCAACTTCTTAAATGCCGCAGAACGATTCTATTCAAATTGCACTTATCTTAGGAGCAATTCATTTATATAAATTATTTTTATTAGCTCTACATTGCGTGTGACTAAAAATTTATTAAATTTTCCGCCTAATACTGCTTATAATTTGCACGTGTGCATAGAACAAAATAAAAATACGTACCCTTTCCACTTTTTTCAACGCCGGCATAGGCTTTTCGACTTCCTTCAAATCCACCTTTTCTTGGTCGGCCTCTTCTCGTCCCCATTTCTGGTACTTTCTCTTCTTCAACATAGCACGGAAGTCCATACCACTGGCGTCTGTTGTAAAATTGTTAAATTGTATAACCAATTAAAATATAAAATATCAATACAACTTTTATGCTACTATTTTAAATGTCAAAACTTATTCAATACTTAATTAAATAATATCACTATTTTATCAGAGTTATAAATATAAATAGTTTAGAATAAAAAAAGCATGTTTCAAATATTTCTTATTTTTTTCGAAACTTAATGACAATCGGATTAAGTCAACTTACCGGAAACGTAGAGCTGCATCTCGGCGGAATCCTCGCCATGGATGTTGCTCACGACGATCTTGTAAGTACCCTCGTCGTTGGGCTTCGTCTTCCTCATGCAGAGGGTGATCGTGTTGGTCTCTGTGTCCGTGAGGAACTTGAAACGACCACCTTCGATGATCTCGGTGATGCCCTTGTAGAACTTGAAAGTTGGCGCGGGCGTGCCCTCCACCGCGACGGTGAGATACGCCGTCGAGTCTGCAAAATGCCGTTAAATTAGTTATTTATAGTATGGCAATTACAATATTTAATTACATAATATTAACATTTATACATATATATTTCTAATTACATAATAAAAATTTTACAACATAGCTACAATTTTATGTACCATTACTTATAAATCTGGAAAAAAACTCTTTTACAAAATGTAAAAAATTTTTAACGACAAAATAAATTACCTTCGACGGCGGAGTACGACTCCTGCACATCGACAATCTGGGGTGGTCCAGGTGGTCCAACATCTCGCAGAGGTGTACTAGGCTGATTGATTTTATTCTCGAGGTCCGCCACGCTTGGTCTTCTGATGTCCGCAGTGCTCGGACGACGACGCTGCGTCATTTAAATGAGAATGTAAGCAAACTTGTACTTTACCTTTGTGCTAGACATGAACAATAAAAAGCTTTCAAATGAAAGCAAAAAAATTTGAAGCACAATTGCGCGACAACTTCCATCGAATTCCTTGCGGAATTAAGTTTAATTTTTTGTTCGGTAAATTTATGAAATCAAAATCAAGAAAAGCAAATTACTATAAATTATTGTTAATGAACGATATTACAATCAGAAAATAATAATTAGATAAATATTTAGTTACTTACTACGGGCGTTTTTTTATGATTCTGATTTCAATTTTACACATATGTGTCGACAAAAAATAATTTGTGCAATTTTAATATTTCTAAAATTAAATTCTTTGCAAAAAGTAAACTATATAATTAAATTAAAAATTCAGAAACGGAAGTCGTCGTTATAGTTAAAAAAAAATTTGCAATTCATGCGATTTCGCATATTTTTACACTTTAATAATTACTTACGTTTATTGACATTTATTTATCGTGAGTTATCGTTATTTACAATTAATAATTAATTGACATTATTAGTCAGCGTTACGTTTCAATCGTTAGATCACTGTTTGTTAATCACAGAAATCGGGTAAGTCTCAATAATATTAGTAACAATGCTACAATTCGTCCTTTTCAGAATGCAAGATTAGCAAGATGGGATCGATACATGTGGATAATTTCACATGATGACTTTCGTGGTAATTTCTTCTACCACGTAGCTCTGTGACTACGATTGCGATTTCAAGGGTTTTCTCTTTAGCAATCACTTTATAAAAGTATTAAACTATTATCAATTCCCTAATTTTTATATTTTATAACAAATTGTTTCATATGATTCAACTTACATTTATTCCACTTTTGTGTGCTTCTTTTTGTTTGCGTGTAAAGAAAATATTTTTGATAATTAAATAAATATATTAGAATCCCTTGAGTACACATAATCGGTCAGAAAACGTAAAAAGAATGTATTAATCAGATGAATGAGAGGTTGAAGAAAACAGGAGCGTAAATTAAAAATTTTCAAAGTTGCCCTTTTTTAAAGTGACTTATTCAATAACAGAAAATATGAAATAATACCAGAGTCAATCTTTGAATATTTTGATGCCATTCCTGCCTTCCAAAAATAATTGAGGAATCGTTTATTCGATGATGAGACAGATGAAACATATTCTTACGATGTTATGAACACACGATATTTTGTGCGACGATGTATAACACTCGGTGCGTAACAACGTGGCAAACGCATTTGTCACTGCGTGAATCGCAAAGCGGAAGTACGAATCACGAGTATGTACATGTAAGATAAAAATTTAAAACAAAATACAACAGTTAATTACACTATTTACTATATTACATAGTTAATGACATAAAATCGTCGTCGGTCAAGAGACTTTTAAGATTATATTACATTGCACTAAAAGGAATAACTCTACGCCACAATAAAAGAAAAGGTGAATAAAAATTGTAGCTAAAGAATTTTCGGATATTGAGTTATATAATATTCTTTATATTAAATAATTATTCCTGCTGGTGCAATCTAATTTTTTCGATAGGGTATTATAGAGATATTTTTTAATTGTTTTCTCGCAATGATCATCGTTGTTAAATATCGAGATACAGAAACGTAAAGAAGGATAAAACCAAAAGATACAGAAATTTAAGGAAGAAAGAAAAACGTGGATTTAAAATGATGCGTGTGATATGAATGATTATTTTCTTCGTGTATGACACGAATATATGAAAATGATTGCTTACTCCGTGAACCGATCTGATCCTCATTATGTCAATTAAATTGCCGTTCGACTACTCGTCTAAATTCAATGATTAAGATTATTTACAAAGAGGCACGTTACAATATCTACACGACATACACAAATACGATGTCATATTCATAAATCAGAACAATAATGTGATGATGCCGACTAATTTCTTATTCTTTTAAGATAACATCGTATTTGTTGCGATGAAAATGAGAATACTTTGACCGAGTTTACGCGATACACATATAGTGTGAGCACAATAGATATTTACACCTATACATAAACGAATAAGTTATTTCACACATAAATCTCTGACATATATAGAAGAAAACTGCTTGGTTTCAAATCAATCGCAGCAGTAAGATTACAGAAATTATTAATTCAAATTTTTAGCATTGTTTCTCCAGCATTTGAATAATCGTTTAACTATTAAAGTAAATTTTGATAATAAATAATTTTAATATCATCGTCTTTACAACATGTTTCACGAATTGTACACAATTTACATAATTTCACAAATATGAATTACTTTAGCGTAATTCATATTAATTATAATTCACGGAATAACTTTAAATATTTTATTTTATTCATTTAAATATATTGTAAATGTATAGATAAGACCGCACTACTGCGACAGCCTGAAACCGAATCGTGCTGCAACTACTTAATTTTTAATGGTGGTAGATTTTATACAAAAAAATTTTTCGTAATTACAACAAAACTAATAGCGTATGTCAACAATTTTTTTTTTTTTGCTGATTATTTTTAATGTGAGTTAATGCCAATCTCTCACCACCATTACAATTGCATCTAAACTGCATCTACAGCCGCATAAAATGTACAGGTGTATCCGCTCGAACTAATAAGCAAAATTTCCGCGATGCGACCGCGACGAGCTTTCTCAGACGCTACACATTAAGTTGATTTATAAATATTTATATATACAAATCGACACAATGCAAAAGCACTATCTGAAAGCGCATCGTCGGCGTTGACTATCGCGACAAGTGCTCATTGCAAAATATTTATAGATATACACAGGTTTTGAATAATATCCAAAATCTTGTCTATGAATATTTTGACTAATTTGGCAGCAAACTTTTTTTAAGAAAAATATGACAAGAATCAACGAATTTGTTTGTCGTAAAAAATCTAATTTTTAAGCCAATTCAAATATATTTTTGCTAAGAAATAATTCGATTTCATATTAATCGATTAACTCAACGAGACTTTTGGATGTCATCCAAAATTATCCTGCATAAATAATTCCCAGACTTGAAGCACGCAATAAATTAAAAAAAGAAATATCAAGATAACGTATGTGACTTATATAATACAAAATAATATAAAAATATATGTATATATATATATATGTATATATATATATATGCGTACACGCACAACAAAGATATTGTGCTAACCTCTTTTTCCTGCAGCGCGCCTGGTCGACCGGACTTAGTCTGTGTGTGGTGCGTGAAAAAACAAAAGATGAGATAGAAACAGAGGTAGAGACAGAGACACAGAGGGGGGAAAGAAAGAGAGAGAGATTAGAATTTAAATTCTAGGGGAGGGGGTCCACGTAAAGTGGGCTCGTATCAAGAAGGGGGCGTGCTGTTTCGACGGGGGTCTTTCGGGGTGTGAGAGAAAAAAAACTCAAATTATTGATCAGTGAATTATTTGCGAATATGCCCTCACACGAACATATAATATTAAAAAATATGAAACCGATATTAAAGTTGCGATATTAAACCGTAATGGTTTGAAGAAGTAGCGGCTAGCGTGTTTACAATAGCGATAGCAACAGCAGCAGCAACCTCAAAAACTTCAGTTAAAAAAATGTCGCAGAATTATTTTTTTATTAATATTAATATATCATCATCCTCATGGTCATTATCATTATTATTATCATTATTAATAATATTATTGCCGTCCTGCGGTAACGCGTGGCGTTGCTTTTGACTCTCTCACTGGTAACTTCATCGCCAGGTACATTTTAGTTCTCGTTTAGTTGCTGGGCTTTTATTATTTTGTCTTTCTTTGTGGGCGGGGCAGGGGAAAACAAAATACATCGCTCAAAAAAAGGGACCAAAAATCATGGGGGCTGAGGGGCGCAGAAAAATTCAAAAATGCAAAAAGGGAGCTTGTGGGGGAGGGGGCCGTAAAAAGAAAAATAGAGCGACATATAATATAGAAGATTGCTGGTGATGGCACTTTGAGCAGGTAAGCTTTGTGTTATAGCGAACACAAATCTCACCTTTGCGTCCAACACCTCACCGGGCCGTAACTTTCCCAACTGCAAAAATCACAGAGACGAATACATGAGGGACAAATAACTAATGCGACTGCTCGTCAACGTGAAAATTTTCCTTTTGCTGGATCGTTAATCCTTTCCGACAAAACCCTTTCCACTGACACAGGACGAACATCAAAATCCTTTTCATTTTTAATAAACAGCTGGCAAAAAGCGATTATTCACGAAAGAAAAAAACAAAAACTGTTTCCTGCGTGCCTATCTTGCTATCTGTTAAAAATTGAGGGGCGGATCGATATCCTTGACTGAGCTATTTTTTATTTAACAATTGGGACTCTTTTGCTCGGGGCAGAGTATCGGTAAGTCCAAGAAGTCGGGTGAGAGTACAAGTGAAAGAGGGTTGGGGAGACAAGAGGGAATCGCGTAGACGAACGCGATCGCTGGGCTGGGGCTGGTGGTTGTTCGAGGCTCGCCTTACCGACGTTGTAACGGCTTGTGCATTTGCATTTCTGTGCGATGCATTGCTACACGACAGTGCGATTGAGCAGTGGCATAATATCAGCTGACACATATCAATGAACTCGGATGCAACCAAATCGATGAGACTATTGTGTATAATCGCGTATGAGAGACGCGAATCGTTCGCCGCCGTTAATCTGAGAGTTTTCGGTTTCTTTCGAACCTCACGTTGAATTTTTCGGAACATTGTATTCGTAAGAATTTCGTCATCACGATTTTCTGCAATATGTAATTTTTTTGCAATTTTATATGTAATTGCTTTGTAAATGTTTTAACAAAATTTTTAGTGCAGTTTAATATTATTCATTCTTTACGATTTAATTATTCTGAAAAATGATCAACGTCGAGGCTCGTCGAAATAATCGACAAAGAAGCAAGGGCGTGATATTGATTCATGAGATCTCAATATTATTTACGTTTAATTATCTTAATAAACTATCATTGTTTCAATAAACTTAATCTTTATATAAAAGAAAAAATTTTGTAATTATTATTTATTTTTAACATCTGTAATTTTTTCATTAATATTCAAGTATTGAAAATCTCATTATAATATTTAGAGAGAGTTTTTGAATAATCCATCGACTTCGCACATTTTGTTCGAGTCCGACCAGAATCATGCCTTCTGAATTTTCGAGTGACAAAAGTGCGCGGATCTGCTTGATTCACAAATCGGTATGCGGGATAATAATTCAAACCGTTTGATGTACGTCCGATGCTGGCAGAACGAGGTAACAAGTGTTTCACGTGGCGATGTGAGGCCGCCTGGTTGTTAAGCATGATTCACATGTCATGTCGCACTGGTCAGAACATTTATTAGCGCTGATGCCTGTCTACAGCGGCACAATGCTTGCCAAGATCCGGTGATCTATGAGTTTACGAAGTTTAAGTTAGAGAGAATTCGAAACCTAGTATGCGGCTAATTGACCGCGAACCGACACGCATGAACACGCCCTGGCTTCTTCCTTTAATGTTTCTTTCATCTCGCATTATTAATTAATTAATATTATTATTATTATTATTATATAGTCAGAACAGTGTGCAAGATTTGGTTGCAACAGATTCGTGCCAGGTGCAAAGATGCATTCGATTTTTACTCGTTGATCAAGTCCTGGATTATGTGTATTGAAACATCGAAAGGCGCGCGTGCGAGAGTATCACAGTACCTTTTAGTCTTTTAGTCTAATAAATTAAAAAATAAGATTCACAAGATCTATTAAAATAAAAATATTTAAATGCATATGTAAGAAAAAGAAGAGAAAAAGAGAAATGCATCGAAATATTTTGTACTGAAATAAAAGATAACGGAACACTCTCGTACGCGCGAGTTTGCACGCAATCGTCAGAAATGTAATCATTCACGTTTGATGAGAAATTTACTCATTTTTAAATATTAATTATTAAAATGTGTGATTAAATTCGAAACGATGCGTGCAGATTTCGTGCATTGTGTGCTGTAAAGTACGACCACAGTAAGTAAATAGTAATGAGCAGGCAAGATTCGAGCAAAGAGAATTGTAAAAATTCCTTACTAAAGATTGTCAAATTTCATTCATTATCGGATCAAAATCAAGATACTTCTCTCGTCAAATGCTCGTTAATTCTCTTTGCTCCGGTGAGTGTGTGTAAGAGAGTGTGCAAGTGAGAAATATAAGTAATATAAATGCATTTGGTAGTCGAGTAAGGTTGCAGACGAGGCATTCGCTTCCGTGTTTTCTCTTAGCGATTTATCTCACCTTGCGCTCGTCCACCACCTCGCCGGGACGAAGTTTCCTATGCTCCTATAAACCAAATCTCTATTAACCACTACTGCGAAGTAAATTTGGATGTGGATATCGGTGAGTGTGTGTGTATGTACGATGCTGTAACATGTCTACATCGCTTAACATGATCGTTTCAATTGGTCGACATTTATCCTGCTGCTCGTAGACGTATCGAAGCGCATTCCTCTGTGCTTTATCTTTATCTTGAACTCGAACCAAGTCTCAAAATTAACTAAAATTAATTATATCGAAAGCAGGTTGCGCCTGCTAAATTTCGGTGGCTTTTAATTAATAATACACTGCTCTATTTTCATTCCAAACATATTTCATAATTATACTCACAGGAATAACACTAAAAATATTTGTTTGGGTTATAACGCTAATTATAAACCAGGAACAAAAACAGCAGATTATTTTAACACGATCTTATCTCGACATGATAAAATATCTGGGAATGCTTCTATTTTGTATTCAAAAATGCATTTGATCGTCTTGCGATCAGTTGCAATGATACCACGTGATCGGCAGTTATTCATGTTTCTTCGATGTTCTCCACGGCAGGCTCTTCACTTTCTGCAAGTCGATTGTACACCGATCTCGAACGTCTTCAATATAAATGCATCGGAGAATGTTTCCATTTCGTTTTCTCATTTCCTTCCTTCTTGTATTTTTACAACAAACACCTTTAACACCGGTGTCCGCATTCGACGAGAAGTAAAGGGACTCGATTTTTTTCGGAGGGACGAGAGAGGAGGGAATATGCTTCAGAAGCTGGCTAACTCTGAATCTCTCATTGGTCAAGGGTTCTAATCTAAATCTCACGCCTTGCTAACACTAAGCGCGACGTGCAACACTCGACGAGCTTCGTCGTCGAGAATTCACGCCCGCGCGTATTTATCACTAATACCATCACGAGTACGACCACTATATCATCACTGACTTACACTACAAAACCCAAAAAAAAGCTACAAAAAATCCTAGAGCCAACCAGCGATAGCCAGTCATTTACCTACTTGTTCGTTCTTACGCGACTCGTTAACTGTCTACCTAATGGGACTCGTACGCGCCCTTTGCACTCCGAAATATGTGTAAAGTAATAATAATATTAAACTAATTTCAAAAATTTTAAACTATACAGAAAAATGCGGATCACTCGATTAAAATTAAATATATTTCCATATTAATAAATATTTAATATATACGATATTATTCGCAATTATTCTCGTAATTATTTATCTATTCCAGAGTATTCCAGAGTGCAAAGTGCACTGTTTCTCAGATAGCACCCTGTTTGCTTCGTCAATGTAACATTTTCGTCGCCATGCGATAAAAGATAATAGTACGTGTAAGTAATTTTACTGAAACTGCAATATAATGATTACAAAAGAGTTCATTCGACATATTTTAAAGAGACTCTAATATTGAATCATGTTTTAATATTCTACTAAGACAAGTTTGCGTCATGAAATTACTTATTTTTGGACATTAGAAATCTTGAGCTAATTGGAACAATGTCTGGCGATTTGACAAGATCCTTCGATAAACTATGAACAGGTTTAATAAAGCTTCTCCGTCACTGCGAACTTCAGCAAAGCAAATTGGGTGATCTTGTGAGCGCATAAGAATGCAACAGAATTTAAGTTTAGGGAGTTTTGCTCGTAATTGTTCGATAATTATTTAATTGATGTATATAGTTTTTCACTAAATGTTAAATATTGTTTAAATTTAATTATAACTTTTTGCAAAGATATATATTACGATGTAATATCTTTTACATATCGACATTTCTTGTTTGCAATTTCAAATTTGTGAATTAAACTTATTCAATTATTCAAATATGTGAATTAATAATTTTAAAAAAGTGAATTATTAATCTCTCGAATATATATAATTTGGAAACGCTGGATGCTTTTTTTCAACAAGAAATACAAGTCCACTTTTAATGCAATTTTCATAATCTGATATATTCACAATTGTTTCCAATACGATTTTAAAATGCTATATAAATTTATAATTGTAAAATAAGCATTTATCTTAATTTTCAATTAAATTTAAAGCTATTCTTAAAACAATCTTGAATATAAGATCGAATTGTGAAAATCTCCTCAACTTGTATCGACTTGCTGGAAAACATTCATTGCTGTAATATCGTAGACGGCTCTGTTGCATTCTTTAACTTGGTCCCTTGCAAGGTAGTCTATATACCTTCGTAATCACACAGCACATTCCGTAACATACCTCGTCACTGATGATCAGGCTAGGTCTGCGACCCAATTCCTCGGGCGGTATGAGCGAACCGCGTCGACTACTGGTACCGCTTCCTGGAGCTAAGGAGCCTTTCCTGCTGCCGACCGGTGTCACGTCCTTGATAACTTCGATTTTAGGTGCCTCGGGCGCCTTGATCTCCGGTAACTTCGGCTACGGCGGTCGAAAATCGATCGATTAACCGCACTTGTCTTTTATCATACTTAGAAAATTATGCAAAAAAATTGAAGCACGTTTAAATCTCGAATCAAGATTCATCAAAACATCAATTGTCTGCAACCATAATTGAATCTCCTCTCTCTTTGCTATAAGCACACAAAGAAAGGGATCTAACCTTGTATGTTTTACCAGCAACAAATAACACATAATTATTCGAGAGAAAGAGAAATGTTATATTTTTTTAATAAATAGAAATTATATTTCTTCAATATTTAATTATTTATTATTTGTAAAGCTAACGGCATTAAAATTGCCGTTAACATTAATCGACGCACTTGTTCGGCTCTTAATTTAATAATTTTCAATTTTATCCCCGAATACACTTTAATCATTTCTCATTGAAATAAATGAAGGGTTGCTGGAGACTCATGCCAAGGTTTCACAATGGATTTACCGAGGTATCGAGAAATCGAGGCTCGTGTTAACTAATACGATGACTCAATACGATCGCGTACGTAGGGCGATTACGACTGTCCCCCGCGATTCGAATCGCGCACCGAGTCGCGGACCCGCTGAAGGCGGGGATCGGTTGCAATAAGGCCGAAAATAGCGATCGACGTTTTCTCCATCTTCGCTTACGGCGACGACGACGAAGACGAAAAACCGATTTTAGGGGGATGATATACGAGCGTTTATTCGCTAAAATAGTTCTGTCGCGAGTGTGACGGTCGCGCACTGCACAGGAGGCATTCATTGCTTGCCAAGGTGAGATTCAGGCCGGCTGATTATTACCCCGTTCCCTTTCCACACATCCGTTTGCTATATATTAATTGTGATTATACAGATGGAATGAGAGTATTTATGGCGCGGGACACCCGTCTTTAGCGAGAACAGAAAATATGAAGACGGTCTTCATATCGATGCGTTGCCAGCGGACATTTTGCCGCAGTTCTGGAAAAAATCACGATTCCTAATCCAAAAAAATTTTGCCAGTAATACTATTATGCACAAGCTACTTATATTAAAAATAAATCAATAAGCAATAGAATAAATAAAAATAATAAAAATATATAAAATAATTAGTTAAAGCTAAAAAAATTTTAGTAAATTAATTAATTAATTAATTCATCATAAATTTTAATTTAAAACATTAACTTAAAAACTTAATCATCAAAATATTTCATATAACATTAAAAGTGACAACAAAGCATATATCGAATAATAATAAAATTGTTTTATATAATTATAAAATTATTTAAGCCTTTTTTTGACGGTATCTATTACAAAACATCCTTCATAAGTGTCGTATTTTTAGATAAATGGTTCTTTAAAAATTCGCCGTCCTTCTGAACTTATAAAACGAGCTCTGGTTCGCACCTCGGTTATAATTAAACCGCCCGCAAATCGGGCGTAAAAATTAATTATCCTGAACCACGTATTACGAGTCTCGATCAAAACGTCCTCGACCGATGTAGCGGTTGCAAAATTTACAGAATTTTTCGTACAAGCAGATTTGGCAATGTGGCAAAATCATATTCTCCCTTTACGCGTTATTAATAAATGATGATCACTCACCTTAGAGTCAAATTTCTGTACAGCATCATGACAAAACCATGTAACAAAAACCGTGTAATTAGTTAAGGATTTTATGGACATTGTTAAATTCTTTCATAAGTTTTCATTTTTTAAATTCATATTTTTACTAATTAGAATAGAATATATCTATTGCTGTTACGTAATAAGTGACATTAATAAACATTAATCATGTGATGCGACGTCTCTTTTAATAGTTTAATTAATTTTCAAATGTTATTCAATATTTCAAAAATATTAATTAACATTTTAAAACAGTATTTCAAAATATTAAGTTGCATTTTTTTTATTTAAAAATTTTTGTCGCATTACATCTCATAAATGTACAGATTTAATTGCTCTTTTACCTGCGTAATCGGCCTTTCGAGCTTTGTCTTGTCACGAGGCACATATTCGCCAAAATCGAATTCCTTCGGTTTCTCGAGGACGGCTCTTTCGTAATCCGGAATCTCTGGAAGCTCGTAGGTCGACTCCTTTGCTCCTTTCGCTGCTTTCATTTTCTTCACTTCGAGCTTTTCTCCCTTCTCAGTTTTCTGTATGATAAACGATAAACAATACAGAATCATATGAAAAAATGCGAGGACATAAACCGTAGGATACGTGCTTATTCCTTTCTACACAAGTCTCCAGTAGTAAAGGTAAACGATTGTGGCAATCTTGCAATTATTAAATGATATTTTTTCTATAAACGCGTCAGATAATATTATAATTGTAATTTTAAAAAATAAGATATTTTTCTTATAATTGCAATATACTTCGTATAATTTTTATATTATGGCCATTGCTCTACTGACGACTATGACATATTTAGATACATCATTGTGTGAAAGGAAGATTATTACGGATTTATTACGATTATTTACGAATATATTAAAATTGAAAGGCTTTAAAAATTGTTATCAAGTTTGAGAATTTTTTTAGTTGCCTTAAAAATATCAATAGTAGACTTTTATTATTTTTCTTGCAGAAAAATTCTTCTTGTAAAATATTCCTGTTAGATAGACATGAGAGATATATGTATACAAATATATATATGGTATATACAGCCATCTTACCTTTTTTTTAATATGTTAATGTGTAATAATTTGTTTAGTGCAACATAATAGTGAAGCGTGATTTTCATGTGAGCACATAAGTGTTTAATAATTTATCATGTAATATTTACAGTGTTGAGAGAGAGAAATGTCTGTTTATATTAAAGACATATATTATTAATTCCACAGATCCATAATAAAGATGTAAGACCGTGTGAGAGATCAGAAAAACGGAAGAATGCAGAGCAATTTTCTTCAGCCTGTAGACTAAAGAAAAATGCGGAAAAACAAAGAAAATAGAGAGAAAGAGAGAGAAAGAGAGAGAGAGAGAGAGAGAGAGAGAGAGAAGAAATAAATT